AAATCTTTTCGAGATTAAGCAATGCGAAATATGTCAGTTGCAAGAAAGAAATAAGAAAGTAAGCAAAATTAGCCATATCCATTGCATAGATAACCTAGTCAAATTTTGTAGGTGGATAATTTGCACTGGGAATTAACTTCTTTTAATGGCTATCAGTACGTTATTAAGGAACTGATGCTAAATCTAAGCGTGTCACTGCAATCTTCACTAAATATAAAACTTCCTGATTGGTTAGCATGGCAGTATAAGCATATAAAAAACAGGCGAAGTCATGAGTACACGTTAACAGCAACCATTGAGAAACTAAGGGCGAAATAAGGCAGCGACAGATGAATGGAACCTCAAAAGCTGCTCCAAGAGAAGGAGTACTACATACCACGGTCCCTAAGGATTCTCCTCAATATACGCTTAATAATCCTAGCATTCAAACAATTATGATATGACCATAAGCATATCATAGCAATGGAAGCTATCCCTCAAAAAAAATGAACTTGTTTCCACATTGAATCTGGTTTAGGGATTAAAATCTCAAAACAACAGAATTTATATGCCTCTCGGTTGCATCTCCTACTTTTATAATTTGGATATTAAACGTAATTTTCAAGATAGAGAAAATACTGGAGTTCTTTTTTCTAAATCTACAGACTCCATTCGTGTTGAACACATTCCCATGGTTAGAACCTTACTAATTCTTCATCACAAATATAAGGGTAAGAAGACCTACTCTCACCCCACCTTTACCTAATTATACGCTAGATCAGTCCAGAAGTTCTAACCTTTAATATCAATAATTAACTCCACTACCACCTGATTTCATTGGAAATTAAATAAGTCCAACTGTTTAGACTATAGCTTAATTACAACAAAGGGAAGTCATTCTACAAGATACAAGTGAGATAAGAGAAAAAGACACACTAAATCCTAACTAAGAAAAAAACATGCAGACGGATTACTTATTAACGACAATAAAAAATTAGGTAACCGATCAATCCGGTTACGTAAAGTACAACGAAGACAACAGAATCTTCTTAATATAACAAAGAAAGAATTAGAACTAAAATAAAAAGATAATTAAGGTACATAAGTCTAGACTGCGTTTCAATAAATAAAGACCAACGCAGGAGTAGTGTACTGAGGTCCGACGATAAAGAGTAACGAAGAAAACTTACACCTTAGCTCTAAGCACGCCTTTATGCTTAGCTTGACGGTGAACATGAAGTTTATTTATTGAACGAATTACCTCTTTTAAAAAAAGGGTTTATCTCTAATTTTCCTACAAAGAGCAAAGTTAACAACTCATTATTTTGTAAGTCAAGGAGTACAGAGGACAAAAAACATTATATGGAAGCTGTCATTAAAGAACTCTTTTCTTTGCACACCCAATACGGCTTTAAAATTAAGCTTTCTGAAAAAAAATCCTAACAAAGCAAGGCATCCCTGCAAAGGAAAGGTAATTAACTTAAATAAAGCTTATACCCCCGTATGCTCTAAGGAAATCTTACAATGTTATTAGGTATTGTCGAATTAACAAAATTAATATTTCCGAGAGCTATACATAATAGATAAAAAAAGAATAATATAGGGTTATGGTAAATACAAAGAACTCTAATGATTTATTTGATAATTTTCAAGCTGCCTGTGAAGAACAACGCTACACCTTTAGTAAACAAAAAAGGAAGGAAAAATGTGAGCTTTTCACGCCTTCATTAAAACCAATTAGTCATGTGACCTTAAGTGTTTAACCCTCCTTACATATATATTGCAAAATTTTTTGACTCCAAAGGAGTGAAAGTTAAGGGTTAGGGTAAATATTTTCTTGCTTCCTCTTTTCTCTCTCTTGTTGTTTTTAATTACCCACTGTGCACGGACTGGGTCTTTCCTGTGTGTAGTAATATATGGGATACTTTAATAAATAATATATGTTTTTTCGTAGTGTTGAGTAATATTTATTACACTTATATAGGTCACTTATTATAGTGTTATTACTAAGAAAGGAACTAACAAATATACGATATTCTTACACACAATGTTTATAGCCCTCAGGATATGTATTTAACCAAAAAAAAAACTTACTATTTACTGAACAAATGCAACTTTGAATTGAAGAAATCTGCAAGACTTTTTTACAGAGAAATATTATACCGATTACGTAAAAATGGGTACAAGCAAAGTATACCTGGCAAAATTTCGAAAACCAGAGGTGGCGTAGACGTGGGTGACTGTATAATTTTAGGGGAGACACAAGATTTTTAGGTGATATGAGGGGCGCATATGAATTAATGAAGTCGCTACAAGTAGATAAAATTTTGGAGTTAAGTATAATTTTAACAGAAGATACAATAATGCCTACCAATTTTTGTTGATTGAACAATTGGCATAGAAATACAATATGATTACTAACAACACAGGTCATATGCCTATTCTTAGATATGTAAAACACCATTTGCCCATTAATGATCAATATAACAGCATTGTGAATCCTTTAAGAAACAAATGATAGCGCAAGAAATAGTATGTCATATGTGACTACTCTTGTCAGATTTTTACAGAACAAAAGTAAGGAGCTCTTATTAGTTACACAGAAGACTTTGAACTACTAAATATAAGTAATAACAGTAATATGGATGGTAATATTGTCCTCGATTGTTACTGTGATGCATCCTAAGTAGGTAATTATGATTATCGTACCACAATGGGATATATATTTATTCATGAAACCCTGTTTTCCGAAAGATTAAGCTCGATAGAAATAACGTACAAAAATCCTTTTGTAAAACGGAATATAGCTTTTAGTACTGATATAGCAAGTACTACATTCACCATAAACCTATTGAGTGAGGTAATTCCCAATTTCCCGCTTTGTTGGGTGTACTTGTGGTTAATGAAGCTGCAGTTGTTAAAAGACCGACTTCTCTGAAGAGGTTGCGCCACATTGACATTGCTTACCATTTTGTCTAACAAGCTCTTTATCGAATAACATATCATGTAGCTCATATATAAATTCGGAGGAAAACATTGCTGATATATTCACTAAACCATTTTAAAGCAGAGACAAGAATAATTTATTATCTAAGAGTATGTATAATACAGGGTTATAACGAGAGAGAAAATTACACTAACCTCTCAGCAACTAAAAGTGTTAGTGCTTAAAAATCTAAGAATTAATATATAAGACATAAACATAAGGATGACTTAGTGGATAATTGAACTCGAACTTTTGCTTTGCTATTTTTTATTTATTTTTCTAAAGTATACATAGAAAGATTAACAGTCAATGAGAGGTAAGCAATTTTTACCCATTTCCTGCTTTTTTCCATCCTTTTGTTGCTTTTCGCTTACCTTTTTTATTAAATACTCTCATGGAACAGCGGGAAGAACAATCCGAATGGCAAAATCTTAGAACAATGGGCAGAAAATAATGGTTTTTGTTCCAGGCCTTTTTATACCTACACATCGCTCAACCAAGGACTCCGTTGATGGGGTTGGACATAGCTTTATTAGAAATATATGCACATTACCAACCTTCTTGAATTATCACCTGATCGTGAACCCAGAACCTGATTAGTTTAGAAATTAAAGTTGGGTTAATTCACAAAAATTTAAAGGGGGCCAATTAGAATCATTTCAAAGCACGTTAATTTTTAATCATAGTTTCCAAACCCCCCCTGTTCCTCTAGAATTGATATGGCTGCCTCTTTTTATGGAAAGCACGATAATATATCAACAATCAAAATGCTAATTATCTAATATCTTTGTATTCTTTTACCTTAAGGATCTCATTAGTAAACATAAACTTTTAAATAGATAATATATGCGAAGACGAGCTCCGTGCAATAAGTTAGCCTTAAAGCAGAGGAGTAGTGCGGTTAGACTTGAACTAAATGCTTTTTTAACAACCTTTGGAATAGAAGCCAATATATCGAAACCCGTTTGATGGTTTAATAAAGATGAGAAACTTTTAGAACTCGTAGAAGTGTCTCTTATTAATAATAAAAGGAGAAATTACTTTTTCAACCAGGAACGACCAATACTTTTTTGAAAACTTTATTCCCTCAGGGCATGCCTTTCGCCATTCTTAGTAATACAAAGAATACTACGATAGTAATTAAATTATTTTACTTTCGCAAAGATCGCATTTCCTACTAATTATTAAGTGTTTACGAATGAACAGGAGGTTTAAACTGAAATCATTAAACAATTTAAAAATTACTAAGAGCCCTGATGGTATATCGATCTGATGCTAAAAAAATTTTCTCCAGTTTATTGTGTAACTTTTAAAATTAATTCGATTCCAATAGGGTTACTTTTAACAAGTTTAAAAGAAACAGAAGTTTTTTTTTAAAACAAAAAGTAACCATATTGACAGTTATGCTAAGACTAGCGATCACTTAGTTTATATGACTTCTGTTATTTTATTAATAATTTGTAGTGCTCGAATAATATAACACAAAGATACTTCGTAGCGAGGGAAGATCATCAAAGACTTATTCATGCCTTCAAGAGGTATTTCAGGGGCTGAAAGTAGAATGTAACAGGTTAAATACGTAAAATCATCATACCGTGATCGGTTGTTGTCGTAGATTAGCGGTTAAGAATAATGTCGCGCATACCTAAAGGTAGTGGGTTCGTTTCCCTCCGGAACATCTCTCTTCTTCGGTCCTTGTTGGTTGAGTATTTAACCTCGCCCTCATAAATTCTAGTAGGATGTGCGTAGTCTCCTCAAAATATTATATAGTCACAAAAATATAAAGAGGAATTTTCTGTTTGTGTGTTATTCACGCCACTTCCCCTTCCTACCTTTTTTTCTTTAATAAAACTACTTAAGGAAGATAATATTTGAATGGATAAACTGTTTCTAAACTTAACTTATGAAATTGCTCTCGATGGTTTGGAAGGTTTCTGTTGTTATAATAGTTATTTGTAAACTATGCTAGCTATATATTTAAATTCTGTAATATTCATATAATATTAAAATTAGGGAGTACTTTAAAAAGAGTATATCAACTGCTAGAGGAAGTTGTTAACTGTCCTGTTGAAGATAAGCTGAAAGAATATTTTTGGCGTTACTTGTTTGCAAGTCGAAAATTTCTCTTTTACAAACTTACTGTACAATAATTAATAAACTTGCTTCTATTATAAATTTATAATAATTTTTTATAGGCCCCTCCAAGGAAAATTGAAAACCTAATTATAATTGTCATCCCTTTAGAAAAGTGCTTTTTTTGTTCCTTATAAAGTATTTTTTGGAATATTTACTTTATAAAATTAGGGAAAATTTTGGTAGTCTTTCCTCCGTCAGAGAGAAATTAGCACCAGAAATTTTGCATTCACAGACTTTGCGTATTGATTATATATTTAATTGTATAAGACCCCCTGACCTACTTTTAATATTTAATAACCTCTTTATTATATAGTCTCCTTGCACCCTTATATTTTTTATACGGTTTGTAACTTAAGTATTGAACTATATGTAACTCTAATATAGAAATCAATTACAGCGCTCTGTTTTTCCTTTGTTAGAAAATTAACCTTATGTTTAGAACAAATCACCCAAAGTTACGGAGAAGAAAACTTTGTGCTGGTTGCTTGTTTCGAACTCCGCTGGAAGGCCTTGACAAATAACAGAATAGTCTGATAAACACGTGCATCGCCTATACTTTGCTTATCAGACTTTTGCTATATGCAAGAACCCGGCCGACCTGTCCGCCCTCCAGTATGCCTTCCTGGAGCGTATAGGCTACAAGCGCCACCACGGAGAAAGGCCTCTGCTAGTATTTAAAGCAATTTCCCTGTTTTCTTACGAGCCATTGCGCAGGCAAATTTATTTATCGAAAGCCTCGGGCATCGGCACCCGAAACACCTTTCTCCCCCTGAAGGTTTTGGAAAGTATAGGTCTAATGTAAGTCTTGTTATACTAAGAACTTCGCAGTCATTTTTTGAGGTACTTTTTCATATGTCCAGCGTGCGTTTCGAGGACACACGCGGTCCTGTCCAGTCGGTGACATGCCTGTTGAAGTGCTTCGAGAGAGACTTTGAAGCACTAGCTGGCCTGAAACAGCACATTTGTTGTACTTTATCGGCCATTTCAGAGGTTGCCTTCTCTGAAAGGCAGCTTTGCGACTTAGTACGGTTCGCCAGCTTGTTTTAAGGCCTTCTACCAGAACATTTTTTCTTTAGATTAGCGAGCACCGTGCAAGCTTTCAAGGAAATAGTGCAAAACTTCCTCCTGTTAACATCCTATTTGAGGAGTTAACTATGGAGGGGGTTAGTTCAAGCACTCATAATAATTAAACCTTCTCCCTCACGTGGTCAATCATTCTTTTTTAGTCACTAAAGAAGGATGCTGACGGAAAATATCAGCTCCGCTCAGACCCTTCCAAAGCTCTTTTTCGGTATGCCTATACAGAAGCAGTGCCCAGGGACCTGTTACGCTTCGTTATTAACAGAAAACTACCTGATAGTCACAAGCTCGGGCGTTTTTATTCAACCAGCGACACTAAAAGTAGTATATGCGCCATTCTAATAGCACAAGTAATCTATATTGCTTCTAAAGTTTGCACGGAACTGTCGATCCTGAGGCAAACCTACGAAATTATAGCCGGCTGCCCTAAAAAGGGGGCCACACAAGGGGTATCGCACGCGTGCGCCTCCATTTTATTTTTCTTGGTCTAGTAAATATGCTCTAAAAGAAAGTGGTGAAGCGACTTAACTTGCGCAGGAAACACGTGGCACGCATTTTTCAAGAATTACTTTCCAAGTATGGTAAGGCAGCGGGTGGCAGAACACTTTGTTCAATATGGAATGCTACTATCTGACCTTTAGGAGTCAAAAAAGTTTTTCATTCTGTAGGGAAAACGAGTGAGTATCGCTACTTTATCAACCAGTCTTTTGTGGTAATAATGAGCAAAGACAAAGTGGTAATAGCATCGTATCGTCTTTTTCAGGTCCCTCCACAGCATTGTGCGCCTCCTCAAAGGCAATTGCCTGCTCTTCAAGAGACTGACGTTTACTACATTTTCCCTATCAATATTCTGCTGCTCATTATTATAATTACAGCTTGACTTTCTAGTCAAAGTAAGCTCCTTGCGCTCGTCTCGTTGCACTCGCTGCAATGATATACTGGAGGACTGCCAGAAAGGTTTGCACGTTAGCTTTTTTCACGTCTCTAGATTGATGCGCGCACATGCACAGGCTACTGTGTCTGTTTTGATTGCGACTTTGCCACTTGCATCCGTTGCAACGAGTACTTTGTGGCCTGCCGTCTGCATGATATGGACCACCTCGTCCTTGTAACTGGTCCTGCTTAGATTGGCCTACTCTACTGATTGGATTGTGATCACGTGTTTTAAAGACAACTTTCTTTCACAAGTGGAGGCAAACCATCGCATTTCGCAGGAGCATCGGGAGAAATGTGATCAAATACTATACGTGCTTTCCGTCAACCACGTTAACAACCTCTTTAAGCAAAAAGGTTATATTAATTATTACCCTTTAAAGGTGTTGGAAGTCACTAAGGACTTGTACAAATCGTCTTCTGCTGACCTTCAGAAAGTAATAGTTTCTGATTCGAAAGTAAATCTTTTACACAGTATCTTCGACTTTTATCTTAATATGTTTTGTACAAGACTCGGCGGCGACTCTTGAAGACGCTGTGCATGGAGAAACTTGTAAGGCTCATTCGCGTCTCCGTTGCTTTGTTGGATGGTCTTTATTTTAATTGGTTTTCTTTGCGCCTTTCATTTTGTTTTGCCATCTCCTTAAGGGCACTTTAAAGTTTGGACGCTTCTGCTCGAGCCCGGCTTATCAATGAAGTTTACTTTTTCTTCCTTATCGTTATTATAACTAACTTGAACAAAAAGAAGTGAAATTGTAAGAACGTATGTCCGGTCCTTAAAGGGCCAATATCTTTTTCCTTTGAGGTAAATACAGAAACCGGAATCTTCTAAATTCCCACTCCAGCGTTAACCTTTTTTCAGCCACTCGCACGAAGGAGAAAAAAGTGCGGAAAAGCTTTGGGGAGCAGAGGTTTCTACTAGCACGCATTCGGCAAACCCAGCCAGTTCGACGCACATACGTATGCGGTATGGCTGGATCCCGGCGCGATATCAGAGATGTAGACTGCTTCACTTATATTTGTGGAAGCTTTGTTTCTATTCAGTAAGTTTATAGAAAGCTTAGCACCCACCTTTCGCTTGTTTTCTTTTCAGTAAAACTTTTTTCCTCGCTTATTATGAAGAACAAAGAGAGGACCGCTGAAATAGGTGAGGTGGTCATTGATGACGATCAACTGAAGTATATATAAACTTGGTCTCAAGCAATTGTTCCCTTAAATTTTTTTAAGTGACAACACGCTGATGACCTCCGTCATCCTGGAAAACATGCCGCTGAGCTTATTTCTTCAAGTGTTGGGCCTCGATCATCCTTCTCAGCCAGTGCAGGTCCTCCCTTTTTCCAGTCTTTTCATTTGAGCCTCTTCCCCTCTATTGCGCCTGCAGACGTGCCTCTCCTCGCCGGAGTGCGCTGCCTGCCCACTAAAACAGCTTCCCCCCCTTGTGTGTCGAGATTTGCTGGCAGGAAGAGGGTTCCTATTCGTATTAAAGTTGGCGTCACCACCGCTTACCTTATGGCGCCTCGCATTAAGGTACGGGCCACGTTTCCACGCTACGACTACATGGCTATCCAAGCTCCGGTTGGTTGAATGCAAGGACTTCTCTACATTAAAAGTTATCACGGTATGGGCTTTGCTAATTGTAGTACACCTTTGTTTCATCTCCTTCCTGCTGGGCAGGCGGCCACTCTCAGCCTTCACTCTTCCAAAAGTGCTGCTCTTGAGGTTTGCCGGTATAAGTTTGACCGCTCTTCAGCGGTGAAGAAGTGGTGGGACGATCTGGAGGCCGCCGTGAACTTCACACAAAATTTCCCCGTAGCCGGGTATGGAGCCCACTGGCCGTTACGCAACCCTCAGCCCTCATTGATGTACTACCAGCTTTGACCAGTCACTTGGCCTGAACCTCATGCGTTACTGGAAGGCTGTTTGGACGCCAAGGCACACACTTTTGCACGTCCATTCTCCTTCGCTGAATTAACCTCCCCGTATAGCAAGGAAGAGGCCAACGTGTTGGAAGCCCATTACTCTGCAGTCGACGGTTTCGTGTTCATTCTGCTTTAACGTCTCCTGCCAATCAAACCTTTCGATGGTTTGCATGGTGTATAGGTCTTCTGAGCCACCTCGACTTTGAGCAAATAGCACTGGAACTGGGCACCAGTGAATTGAATGTGACCTTTATACGTACAGCGGGGACGGACGCGCATTTACTAACATTGTATTGCTCCTTGCTAGATCCGGAGATACTTCTTGAGCAAGTCTGGTGTCTATGCTTCATTCTCTTTCGTGCTTATCTCTGACTTGCATATGACAAGCGCGCCAGTTCAGGGCTTTACCCAAGTCCAAAATTGAAACCTTTGTCCGTCCGAGGAAAAGGATCGGTAGCTCTCATTCGCGTCGTTGGTGATGGTTCGCACGCCTTCATAGCTTTCTAGCGCGCACCAGCAAGGCTTCTGGTCTGAGTGAGAAGCTAGCAAGAGAGAAGAAGAGCGAAGAAGGGCTCTCGCACTCTTCTTTTCGTGAGTTTCCTGAAGGCCATCTCCTTCCGTTTGACGTAAACTTGTCTTTACTATTCTTTAGACAGGCGCTCGTTCTATACGTGGACGGTCCAGCAGGACAATTTTTTTATACTGTATATACTGAATTATTATTTTTGTGGTTGCCTGGCTTTCACCGTCCGTCCTTTCGCACGCGGTGCAGGTGTTATATTTCCAGTTGCATCCGCCATAAATCTCTTAAAATGAACCGTCAACGTTACAAAGACCTCGCAGCGGCCGTCAATGTACGTATAGCACCACTTAAAAGCTATTACCTTCCTTCTCTTTTTTCCTTATAAAAGAAACACTTTGAAGGTGAAGAACCCAAAGACATCCGGGCCTTCCGATCGCGTCTTTCCGTCCTTCTCAGGTCCAGTGAGGTGCTGCTTTTTCGGTTGCAGCTTCTTGTGGTTTTGTGGTAATCCCGTTGCCTTCTAGTTACAATTGAGCGTCATGGGCGCGTACCATGCCGTTCTCAACGCCCAACAGGAAGTCTTGCATGAGTACGATTCGTCCAGCTTCGACTGGGAAAAGGCTGTCGGTGCTTTAGAAGACGCACTGTGGTACTTTTTTGCTTCGTTCACGTGCTTATAATCCGGGTTAATGTCGACAAGTCGGCTTCTGTCTCCCTGCCACTTCGGCGACTTTCCGGTCACCGAGGAGGAGTTAAAAACGGGCTTTTCTCTCCTAAAACTCGATTCAACCACCCCCTTTAGGTAACACGTGTTGCGTGCGCTTATTCAGAGTTGGGCATTTCCTTCCTTCCAGTGGTCTTGAAAGTTTTAACGACCGTGATTGGCCGTCCAGCCCCTCCAGTCTTCTCACTTTTCATGTAACCGAGCTAGTGCTGGTAATGCACTTGCTGTTGCTCATTGAGGTCTCGTGGGCTATCACGCGCTCCGCTTATCATTTTACTCCTTAGATATTACTTTTTTGCGGAGTGCCGAAACTTAAAGGTGTTATACTATTATTACTCTTACTATCATTAGTATTATTGTTATTGTTGTTAGGTGTAGGAACGCTCATATTTAAAGATTACCACCACCTTTTGGAGCCGGTCATTCGTGATCTCATTAATAAAAGAGGTTTTCTCTTTTTCCTAAATCATTGCCTTTTTTACTAACTAATACCTATGTAAGTAATAAAAAAAAGTAAAAGTACCCTGCTACTGCCTTGGCCATTATTACCAGGACACCAGTTATTATATCATACGCATATACATTGTATTTTTATCACTATAATTGCTGTAGAGTTCGAACACAACTACTCGATCCCTTGAAGACGGAAATCTTTGAGAATTACTTTGAGGCTTACGAAAAGTTTAAAACAGAAATTCTTCATAATAAAAGCGTTGCTCTTTCCGAGGAGACGGCACCGCAGCTTTTTCTTGTTGTTCTTGACTGCACGGCTGCTGGACTGGTTTGTGACGCTTATATTGAAACACTTAAAACTAACACGGAACTATGAAGGCTGCATTGGACCTTTCGGAGCCTGCCGCGCCCTTCGTTGACTGTTTGTGGATTGGTTCTTTTATTCTATCCAGACTCCTCATTCCTTTCTTTAGCCTTTGACGATGCCGACGTGTACTCCTTTGTGGAAGCGTGCTCGGTTTCCTTGTCTCTTCTGCAGGATAACGACAGCATTTTTGCCGCCAACTTAGTTTATTTGTTGGATTCATTTTCTGTATTGCATTTGATTTCACTATAATTTTTGTTAGCTCGCAACAGATGAAGAGCCTCTGCCTAAAAGAAAGAAACGTAGTAACAATTAATATATAAGCACAACTCTGTGTTGTTCGTATCGCCTCCTTTGCTACTGTTGGAGTGGTCCAACCACACAGTCAGTCTTCTTTTTTCTTATGCGTATCTCCCAGCGCGTGTCGACCTCGACGAATGCTGCATTGAGGTCAATTCTGGGAGAAGTGACGCTTTGCTTAAGCATCTTTTCGATACTATCGAGGCAAGTAGGGAGTTCGGGATCACCCTCGCGCAACTGCAGCAATCCGTGAGGGTTAAAAAATTCTTTTCTTATGGTTATTAGCCAGCACTTTATACATTTCCCTTAAAGATTCCAACGCTCCTTGAAGATCTCAACTTTCTTGTTGAAGAATGCTTAGTTTACAAAGTCGGCCGTAATGTTTATCGCTATATTACTTTTAAGCACGTGCGGCCATGGTACTTTTTTTGTTTGCCGGAGTTAGTCTCTTACAAAAACACTTTTCCTTTTTCTCCAATGAGGGCCCTCTATAAAACATCTCTGTGTTCTCGTGCCGACAATTCACTAGACGGATCCCAAGATGCCCATCAGTTTTTCACGAGCGTCGATGAAGCGCAGAATTTACAGGTTGTTTGGGAGGAGCCAATCGTAAGGAAGCCTTGGATCGGCTTGGTAGGGCTTCCACGCAGCGTTGGTCTTTTTTTTACTCAGCCAATACCGGAAAGGATGGGAAAGTCAACCAGCGAGCCTGGAAATCCTTGAGTCTGGCAGTCTTGAACATAATTATAGAACGGCCTGGTATTGAGGAGGTTATAAGGTTTTTTTCTTATCATAGAGGAAACATTTCAATCCGTCGCATGCAAAGAAAGCCATTGCCTTAAAAGTAAGCGCGCTGACGACTATTCTCTCTCTAAAGACTCTGCTGGGCATATGGAGCTTCCGCGGAGCGCTTTACAATAGTAAACATCTATTTGTGTGTTTGTCGGGTTCTGCCGTGTCCTCGACTCTTCTGTCTTCTATTTGAGCGAAGCCCTTTAAATTTTTATTTTACTAGAACGCTATTACGCTGTCCCCCCCCCATCTCTTTTCTCGAGTCCTCCAGATTTCTCCAACTTTTTCCTGCAAGCTGACCAAAGTTGTACTTGTTCGCTGTAACTCTTCTAACTCGGTCTTTTATTAACATACAAGCAGTTCTCGACGAGGAAAAAGTTTCCGTAGCCTGGTTTCCCAGTGTAAACGTCCGTCTTGTAATGGCGCAGTATCTCCGCTAGAATAGAGAAGGGCGAAGAACCGACAGTAATAGAACACCAAGTAATTATATGAAAAAGAATAATTATATACTAATAGTAAAAGAATATAGATAATAGATTAAGTAGAATTATGCAAAAAGAAAATAGATAGAATAAAACTTGAGGGTTAGTAAAAGCTTCGTGGTATATATACTAAAAATTCGGAAGTGGAGAGCCAGTCAAAATCAGTATCACCAATTAAATTCCTTTTTACTTTGATTAATTTTTTTTATTAGCGACGTAGTGCGTATAGCGTTTTGAACTAGGAGGAGTAAATAGGAAACTATTCTTGTAGCTTGTTAGGAGACAGAGAGCTCTTTTAATTCATTGAAATTGATATAACAGCCGCGACTTAAAATAATATCTCTTAACTTTTTTACGTTTTATTTGTGCACACGTTAATAGGCATATGTACAAACGATAATAGATTACTCGTTGATATACCACGTGAAGTTGTTGCGACTCGAATTTATGTAAAAAACGACTGTAGTGGCGATATAATTTCAAATAGTTAGACAGAGTTGAATCAGTTATAAGTAGTCAAAGCTTATAAAGGTTACCACGAAATCCGCAAAACAGGGCGAATGCTTACCATTTTATAGCTAATTAAAAAGAAAAATAACTTTTGAAAAACTCCATTAACACCACAAGTTACCACTACTGACTAACAATTTTCAAAAACTCCTGAGATTCTGCAAATTGTTTTAGAGGACAAACGAAGTAAATGCTTTTCATTTTTGATTTAAAATATCACATTTAATGAAATTCCAATAACCCACTAAGTTGCAATTTCAAAGATACTAACTCTTTGAAGGTTACAATAATTATTCTGGGGTATCGGTGGAGTTAAAAGTATCCATCTTAATGGCTCAAAAGGAATTAGCTCTATAGTGCGCTAAAAAAAAGATCTTTAAAGAGAGCCACTTGGGCATAATGAGTCAGTTACTGTGCTGAGTCTGCTTCTAGAAATGGGTAGTGTGAGAACAGTTTGTACTGAAGTTACCGTGTAATAATACTGCATATATTTTTTAATTATTAATGACTTTCTGCAAATGCTCGCATTGTCATTAGTAATCTGCTAAATTTAGAAAAATCATTTTATATTGGTAAATACTTTAATTATCTTTCGTGTGCAGGACGTTAACGGTAATGTGTGCCTTACCATATCTCGTATAAGTCGTTACGGGTGTCCCACAAATCCATAAGCAGCAGCTGACGCGTTTTGAAAGAGTATTATAGTGCGATACTTCAATTGTCATCGTAAAGGGTGCCGTTGAGTACCAGAGCAACACGCCATTTGTCAGCTGCGGTAGTTTGTTTTGTGGTATTTCCAATGTCGCCACTACGAACGACGCAATAAAGTTCACTTAAGAGGAGTGCAGATTATAATGGGCTGCAAAAAATGATCTTGCCCTTCGCGCCCAAAAGCGGAGAAAGCGCTTGCGTCACCGTCTTGACCTTCGATAATGATTCTTCAATATTTAGCTTAAGAGCACTGGACCTCCGCGACTACAAAGTAAGTGGAAGCATTGTAAGCGTTTCTTCGAAATGCAGGGCGCCTTGCTTTTGCCGCATACGTCTCATTGACGGCACCAGCTGGCAACTGTTTACTTGTAGGTGAAGTTGTAAAGTTTGATTGGGTCGTAACCTAGACACACTCTTAGCTGTGGTTTAAACAAGGCACACAACGAATTTTAGGACGTTGTGCAGGCCGAGTAAGCGGGCCCTTATAACGGATTAATAGCACCCAACTGAGTGAATCCTCTTTTGCATTTGCGGTTCATCTTAACAGAATAAGAGTTTTTAGTTCTACCAGTCAAGCCGTCATAGTATAAAAAATTTACTCGATATTAAAGAAATCGTAATATTAGCGGAAGATGCGGAAAAACAGGCTAAAAATGAGAACGTCTTCTTGAAAAAAAAATGTCGAAGATGTGGTATATTAAATCATTAAAAGGAAAGGCAAGACGGAATCCTAACATTTTTTCTATCACAGATATAACCTGTCATCTAAGAATTAGTTATTCAATACTACCTTATACTCGACGCAGTTGGGGATCCTGGAGCAAGTTGCCATATAAACCTACTAAAGAAGTAGTTAACTTAAAAGATAACATAATATTCCCTATAGAAGGTATCTTTAATGAGATAAAAACCCCCGAATGCTTTAATGACCTCGTGAACAGGGGAAAATTATCTTTTAATGAGGAAAATGGCAATGTTATCAACCCGCCCCAACGAACTATCAGAGCTGATATTAAACCTTCAAACCAAAATAATCGCTAAAAAATAAAACGCTGGAGTATATAAGTCGCTGCGGGGATCTAGTTAAATCTAAGATGGAGTGGTACAAATTTTTTGACCACTTGGAATTGAGGTCTATTCCCCTCTCTGCTTGTGTTTGTTCATTTGTGGACCCAAGAATTTAGGTTTGCACTGATTCGTAAAGTAGCTAATAGTAGATGTTCCAGATTATGGTCTACAGGGATGAAATGTAAGAGAGCATTAATCATCTATGGGGTGATCTTTCTAGTTATCTAGTTAAAAAGGAATATTTATAACAGATTAATACCTACTGGCTCAGCCCATACTGAAGTTACCATCTCAATATCCAGAGATAGAGTTAGTATTATCTTACGATCTTAAGTATAATAACTGTTTGGGATGAATATGGGACTAGTTTAAGAGCTTTTTTAAACTAGTTTACTTCACTTTTCCCGGCTTTTGTACTTAGCTTCAAGTATGTTAATGAGTTTTTATAAATCTTTGTTTAACAGATTGGGTCAGTGGTTGGTCAACCATATTGTTTTTAATAAAATGGCTATTGAGCTTTAAGTTAAAGGTAGTTTACATTGTTTTTAATTTTTATATTTGTTAGTCACAGATTTCTCTATAAAAATACCTTTTTTAAGGCAATATTAGTTTTTCTTTAAATTTATAAGTTATATAATATACAAAGGAATACCGCTATCTTATATCAAGAACGCTTCAAAATTAGTGTCTCTCCAAGAGCAGTAAGGTATAGACTAATAGTATCTTATTAAGTTGCTATAGGGCCTGATAAATACTGAACACGACTATTAAGGCTCTTAATAACATTACAAGGAAGTAACTATATGATTAACCTGATAAGCTATTAAATTTAAAAGTACGGTGTATAAACTATTATGGACTCGAATAGCATGTGTGTAAAAAATATTATTATATAATAAAAAGATTTCATGATACGATCATACTAATAATCTTACAACAAAGTCAAAATAAGGACAAAGAACATTCCTTTGCCGAAGGAGGTAAGTTGGTTATTACCTGAATCCCTTAAAATTTACGTTAAAAAAAATAATGTGTAGCAAAATTACATATAATTATGGTTATAATTAAGCTTAAAAAGGCATCTTTTCGGCAGTTTAAGATTACTGAAAACATTACATAGAATATATTAAACTCAGAACAATAATAATTTAGTTATCGGTGAGAGCTGTAGTTGGGATAGAATAGCAAGGTAATGCTGCTTTTTTAACTTAATCAATTAGTTTATCGTTATTTAAACAAAAAATAAAACCAATATTTCCCTTGTATAAACCACAGCGTTATACTCTAGAGATAAAAAGATTACAATCCCTTCAAGGCAATAAGATGAGAAAATGAATAGTCTCCAATTAATTTTATTTCGTTATTCCATAAATTTTTACAAATAAGATCTTATTAAGGTGCTATAGGGCCTGAAAAATACTAAACGCGACTATTAAGACTTTAAATAATATTACAAGTAAATTGGTAAGCTATTAATTTTGTAAAGTACATAGTATAATTAACTATTAATTCGGATAACGTTATATACAGTAAAAAGTTACATTAATTCTAACAGGATTATAGTCTTACAAGTAAGTCAATCTGGAAAGCCAGCAAGCATTTCTTTATTGATGACGGTAAGATCGTTATTAGCTAAATCTCTTATAATATAAGTTAGTAATTATTGAAATAAAACTTAAAAAAAGTATAGCTCTAATTAAGGTTTTATAGATATACCCTTACAGTTTCTTTTTATTTTTAAAAAAATTCATTGCGGCTAAGAAAACACTTAACTTAAAAAAATTTGTTACTTTTTAAAGAATATTTAAGTCTACTGTATAGCCTTTTCTTACTAATTTAAAATTAAATATATATTTGAAGTCAAATCTTACATGAGCGTTACAACACTTGGTATTTCTCGCTTCCTTCGGTGGGAAAAGTATTAAAGTTGCACCCGTTTAAATACCTTTAAAATATGTGTAAAACAATGGCGTAAAGGTCGTTAGAACACCAAGATGTTTTATGAGTCTATACTTAATTATAGTTAAGAGTATAATTATTAATAAGACCTTATTTAGGACTTCTGGCTACAAATTATGATCAATAATACTTCTAGTCTTATGGGTTTTACGTATATATTCGTGTCAGCAATTTGTGAAGGAGGCAGGGGTACTTACAACTTTTTATGTCGGGTGTATGATCCATGACAGCGAGATTCTTGTTTTAACTTCGATACATTTACCTCCCTTGGAAAATAGAAGAGAAGGGTACGGCAAAGAGACAACCCACACACGGCATACCGACAATGGCTAACAACTTAAAAAGTAACTTTCCTCTTAAAACCTGCAGAATAAAATGTTGCCTAGATGTTGACTAGTAATATCTTTGCATTTGTATCTTATATTTCATTTAATCGCCATCTATTACTGCTTCCCTAATTTGTCAATATCAATAGGAAGACGCAAAATTTCATCCTTTTAACTTTTCTGTCTTAAAATTTTTGACTGCATCAGCCTTAAAGGGTACCTTCCCGGTAAACCCTTCTTAAATATGAAGCACAAATTTACTCTGAGGTATTAATACTAAGTCAAACAATATACTATCCAAATAATATTTTAATAACTGGTTGTATGATTAAAAAATAACTTTAAAAAATTAATTACGGGAAGCTTTTGACCTAGCAAATAACCATGAGAGTTTGATTGTAACATTCTAAATCATTAAAAATTAGCTGTTTTAAAATTTTTTCTAATCTCTAATATTATGTATTAACCACAAAATAATGCTTTTTGAGCAATTCGTAAAGTGATAATCTTTATTCTTGTCTACTTTCTTATTTAGTGAGACAGCAAGCAAAGTGGTACGTTCATAAAAATATTTTTCTTTATATTACTAGTTAGCTCACATCGCTTTAAATACCAATTGAAGAAGGAATCTATACCGTTGATTTCACTGTTACTACTTTCTGCCTACCAACAAAATGTAAACAAACAAATAGTCCTTAAATTTTAGGTGGAAAAGAGCAGTTAAGTGGCCAAATATTGGTTACTAAACCGTCACTTCAATTTGTGCAAACAATAATTAATACCCTCGTAGATAAATCTTTATAAAGTGAACTCTAAGGAAAAAGATTTCTTTTTTGATAAATGAAATCACTTGAGCGTTAGAAGGAGCTCATTATAACAAGACTGGTCAAATCTAAAAGATGCAAGCATTGCTTTTACTATAAATTAGATATCACAGTAAACTTAAGCAAATGTTAAAATAACTACCTACTGATTAACGTTGTTTATTTGTGATCTATAATTTTAGGAATATTTAAAGGTATATGACTTGGCCAATTGAATATAAGGCTTCTTTTGCACTTTTGTTGAAAAAGGGCGCACGTGGAAAACTTTGTACGTCACAATACTATATTTAGTTAATTATTTATGTAAAATGTCCAGTCTCTCTGGTCTTTGTCTTTGTGTGCAGTTATAAAATAGTTCAGTAAACTCTACTGCTTCTCTTAATATTTATTATATTGTTATAAGCGCTATAGTCAACTCGAGAGACTCTGCAATTGAGAGTCTTAACAAACACTTCCTTAAAAAAAAAAAAAATGTAATATACGTAAATTAATCGCAATATAGTTACGCACAGCACGTTTCTTGAAGTCCACTGCGATTGGATAATTAGCGTTATTAAACGCTAAAAAAGTGACGCTCATATTACTAAGGTATTATCAAGTCCTAACGAAAGTAAGCCTTTAAAAAATATATTTTGTTACTCCATTATCATGTGATTGATTTTTCATGTACTACTACAATACAGTACCGAAAAAAGGTATGGCGTAAATTCAAATTATCTTAGAATTAATTACTTTTTAAAAAATTTACACGTAGTTAATTGATTTTTTCTTATAAGAAAGCGTTTGTATATGTAAATGATTTGCCTGTTGGCTTAGATTTGGATTTGCTAATCATGTGCGCAGGTGGTATTGTGCATCAAAGTTCAGTTTATTTTCTTTTTTTACTATAAAAAAGAAGACGTTGACCTAACACTATACTTATTCATTGTACAATAAAATTCAAGAGAACAGGACGCACCAAAAACCTGCATCTTAATTTTAGTACTTTCAATATTGTAATAAATAATGGAATTTAGAGAGTGACTTAACAAATATTCTGCACTTCCTTTACATTAAAAGGGGTCGTTGGACTAATGCTCACCTGCGCAACTCTTAAAGGAGCTATGTCTTTTCCATAAAAGGTTGCTCAGGCTATCTAGAGTGATAGAATAGTCGACTGAAATACATAAACAGAACGGGCAATATGTTCAGAGTTACAAGAATATCTGAGTACATCAGCAGTAGTAATCCTAACTATAATAATGAAAATAATATAATAACTTCAGCAACTTAAAGCTTTTTAAATTTATGTGCACTTAAGAAGGGATTATAATAAGTGTCAACTTAGTTATATTAATAATAGCTATGGTTTTTTCGAAACAAATAATACTAACAAGCATTTTCTTTATAATATAAATTGCCTTAATCTTTTTTCCTTGATTGTAAGTAATCTTTTTTTTTTACTCCCAGAATAATTTGGTAATTAAGTATAATGAGAATTTAAGGGTTGTACCTTATGGTTACAGTTTCACTTGGCAAAGTGACAGTTCTGTTTCATGTAAGAGCGCTGATGGTCAATCATTTATTGAAAAAATAGCTGATATTATATACTAGCTGCATCTCCTACTAAATCTTTTTCTTATTAGACGACGGCTAAGTAAATCCATTTAAACTAACTGCACATTGGTGAGATTGATAAATTTTGCAAGTATTGTATCTTGAGCAAATAGATGCGGTCGAAAGCTCGAGAAATGCACCAAAAAGCTTGCGTAGTGAGGGGTACTAACTAGCACTATTCACTGCTTTATCTCGGCGGTAAAGGAGTAGTTTGTATTAGTGTAATTATACAGAATAGTGTTTGAGTTGTATGACTCTATGTTTGGGAGTAGAGTATCTGGACAATTTATCTTGGTTAACTGTAAAAATGCTTACTTCTCTTGTATAGAGAGACTTTGGTATGGTTCTAGGTACGAGCACTACACGTATAATGTTAGTTACTAGTATCTACTATTTTCAACCAGAACCACCCATTAGAACAGTTAGATTCTAAATATTTTCCTTCCTGTTCTTCATTAAACAGGATTATTTATGCTTCCGTAGTATACCTAAGCCGCTGCCTGATTGTTCTCTCAGAAACCTAGATTTATTGGCCTATGTAATAGATTTACTGAAGCCAGCATTTGAGGAGATAAAACAGATAAAAACTACGAAAGAATAATCTCAGGTGAGCAGAATTTAAGCTGGTATCCGTAAACACCTTTTGGCGAGATCACGCTATCTCAAGAGAGAACATAAATATGTAAAAATACTGTGAAGTATAAAATGTGCAATATAACCCTAAGAGAATAAAATGAAATTATTATGAAAATACATTATCAATAGTAGTAAAGTAAAAATTCATAATAAAATATACAAATAAACTAAAATGAAAAATGCAATAAATGATTAAAATAATAACTACTAAAATAATTCCTAAAAGGATTATATAAAAAAGATTATAAATCGCAAGTAAGCATTATTTTCATTGCTCAAATTAGTTACTTTTAGGCATTGGACCAATTGAATAGCAGAGAACTATAGAAAGACAAATACACAACACCACCAGTTTCAATCTAGTGTATGAACAGTAGGTTGTAGCGCTAGTATATCGTCATCAAGAGCACCAGACGATCGACAATCGGCGCCCCTACATGATATAGTATTGTAGGCCTCGATCCAAGATGCTTTCTGTCTAGTTGTAACTGGTTCTGAATTTTATGTACTTGAATAGCACCATGCTAATAATACTTTAAACAATGTATATTTGATTAATTTATCCTAAAGGGGTCAATTTCTTTTATGGAAATCTATAGCACTAGACAATTATCAAAAATCCAAGCCAAATAGCTTTTTGATGCTTTTTTCAAACCCACTTTTCACCTAAAAAATCGGTTTACATTAATAATTCTTTAGCCAGCATTTTTTCGATAAACTTGGTATCGGATAAAATTTTATTAACTCCGATCTCTGGGTGAGGACCAAAAATTTATTAGGAAACATTCAACTTCCTCAGAAGAGCTTTTCTTTTATTTGTCTATTTTATTATTATTGCCATTATTATTATTTATTAATTTAATTTTAAACTCTTTTTTCTTTACTATTTATATTTTTTTCTCTTAAATTCTTCCTTCCCTAGATCTCACTTCTACTTGCAGCGAACAACAAGAACTTATCGCCACTTTGTGGGCCGCTAACATAGAATTTAAAAAGGAGCTAGAAGTTTTAAAAACAAGTATGGCAGTTTGAAATAGAAAAAAAAAGTTATGAAAAATTTATTAAAAGACGAAAAGAACCTATTGAGGTAAATAATAACACAGTTACTACCAATTTTAATCCCAGTACCGCTCTTCAAACTTTGGAAAGCTCGGAAACGGTTAATATAGATATATTAGAGGATAGCGAATTGTTGGATGTGGTCATAGACAATACCAATAATAATGCAAATTCTAACAAGAAAGATAACCACAATTATATAGTAAGGAAACTAATTTAAAAACTGGTAAACGCTTTAATTATAAAAATAGCAATAATAGGTGTGTTAGCAAGGGTAGTACTAATAATAAAGATTTTAATGAAACCGGTAATAGTAATATTACCAGTGATAATAATAGCAATAATATAGTGATAAGACATTACACCAAACCATAGTGGTACTAGTATTAATAACTTTAATAATATTAAGGTACAACTAAAGTTAAGACCCACCTGTTATCATACGCAACAGGGACGACTGAAGAATACTTTCTTATTTAATTAAGATAAACTCCTTCGAATTCTCAGGAGCAACGAACTAGAAGTATGGAATTAGGATTTATAGGCCTAGTGAGTAAAACTACAGACGTTTAAGTTCTCTTTTAGCTTCAGAAAACTTTGAGTACTACACTTCTCGCCTCCTTTTCTACAAAGAATTTAAGGTTGTTTTACGTCTTATCCTTATTGAAATGAAATTAGAGGAAGTTAAACGGAATTGTGAAATCAAGGCTTCCACCCCACTGAAGTTATTAAAATAAGAAAACATGATCAAATCAACACTCCTATGCCCTCGTATTAGTAAAAGTACCAAAGAACGAAAGTACTATTTTAAAGTCAAAAACTTTGGTTATATTTATGTTTCAGTAGAACCTTTAAAAAAAAGGGGAGAGTTGGTAGAGTTGGTCGATGTTTTGGATGGCATTTATTTGGGCGTACCGATAAATTCCGCATTTCCCAATCCAAGTGTGTCAAATGCGCAGAAACCACATTCCAGATTCCTGCCCTAAACTTATAGAACATCTCGATGTATTTATTGTTAAACAAATAGTCAACTCTTTAACTGTAGCGTTAAGTATTTAAATATTAAAATTTTTAGTGATTAATTTTTTTAAACTTAGTAAAAACTATTTCTCTACCCGCCTTAACTTTCTTGCTGTTCAGTTTTAAATAAATATAAGGTTTGTTTATAAATTTCGTAGTCATACTCTGCTGTGCTCTTCAGAAAGAAATTTGTTAGCTTTATATTGACATACTGTCATTTAGTAACTAAGCAAAAAGTTTAATTTATTAATAAAAATGAATTGGAAACGTAATAATTAAGAAATAACCATTAATTTATGAAAATTTTATGTATAAAAGTATAAATATAAAACAATATATACTAAAGCTATTAAATAATTTTCATCATACTAGAATTTTTTTTTCCAGGCCTCTTATGGCGCCTATTGTTGAGCCCGTACATCCTCTTGATCTTTTCACTAACATTCGGTATAATATTACTACTCTGCAGTAATAATTGAAGTTTACACGTGGACTCACAAGCGTTGCAAATGTGCCAAAATTCATTTTAAACCACAATAAATTATGTAAATCTAATCATTCTCTGAAATGTTAGTTTCCATACGGAGGTTAAATTATAGCGTGTATACTTTCAAACAAGCATTTATAAGTTTAACCAATGTTTGGAGAAATAATAGTTGCGTCTATTTCAAAGTAGATTATCATAATAATTATATGAATTGAAGCTGACCGCTGAATGACACTATCTGCAATTTTGGAAACATAAATTTTTCCTAATCAGTACTTTACAACAATTTTTTTAAGTTTATAATAGAAACATCGATAATGAAAGGAATTACAAGCTACCAAAATTAAACAATAAATTCCTCACCAAAGTAATAAATATGTAGCGAGCAGACGATACGGGGACCTAAAACTTAATATGCGCAATAACCATTAACACTCTCCGTTTAAATAAAGTTTCTAAATTTGTTTAAAATATTTAGTAAAACTAGTTAACTTAGTATTTTCTTGTCCTCTATACTACCAAGCTAATTAACAACTTAAGCTATAACGTCCTCTAGACGTTTAGTCTTCGTGCTAGCCCTCGAAAATGCGCTCGAGCCTCCCATGTGTTTCACTAAAAAGTATATATATACCATACATATTGTAGCAATAGATTACCACGGTATCTAGTAAACAATTTATGCTTACTCTCAATAATACAAATTTTAAATTTGTAAGGTGATTAAATTTTAAACACATCCAAACTGGGTCTGAACCAAGAGATACTGAGTTAAAACCTGTTGAGTATGAAGAGGGCTGTCAGCTCCAACTTTTCTGGGTACTACTAGATTTGATTTAAGAGTTATACTAAACTATCTGCCTCCGTATAGTATAAAGTATTCGCATCTACCAAACTTGTTTTAAAATAATTCCATGTGACTGTCCCGAAGAAATTGGAGGGAGGGTTAAAAATATATGCACTGAGGATTTTTTTTAGTTATTAAAATTAAAAAAAAAATTACTAAGATTTCAGAAAATTTTATTAGAAGTAAAAATTTTGCTAAATTGTTTTAGATTATAGAAGAGCATATGTAATAACAACTCCAACGTTACTAAACATAAAGGTTACTCAAAAGATTTGTAGTCTTGGGAGCTCCTCTTGAAAACGGTTTAGAAGGTGTAACCATCAGCACCACACTACACTGTATGCAGCACCTACACAGCTGCAAGAATAGATCCTACAATGAAGGCGTAAAGCCTATATCGCTGTGGTCGCGGCGATAGCTTAGGATGCTGCGTACGTCCCGCACCATTTACGAGTCATAAAATTGTTGTATTATAACTTCTAGTAATTTAAGTTACCACAATATTTTTTTATTTTACGCCTAAGTTAAAAAAAAAAAGTTTAGAAAGTTTTTTATATTATACAATTTAGCAAATAGGCATTGAAGTAGGGCTCTTAATAAATGTATTCAAAGGAACTTTTTATCGAAACTGTAATTTTTTTTTTAATATTAAATACTCCCATAACATTTATTCATTTTAAAAGGCTACGGGCAATGTTGTCAGCCGTAAATCTATTCTGTGTGGTAGCCAGAACATCATCGTTGCAGGTAAGGTTTGTACAGAGCACATACTACATAAAGTTTTTGATGTTATTAAGAAATGCTTTTCAAAATAAATATTTAGGCACTATATTTATAAGCTAATTTTAGTTTTTTATTTTATAACTTTACTTTTTGTGAGGTTTTCAGGTTATAAATTAACTTTTATTTTTTTTTTCAAATTTATTAATAATTTAGGGGATTATCAGCGAGGATAGCATATTAAGAGGGGACCTTTCTAGCATTAAAATTGGCAGATATTGTAGGATTGGACAAGGTTGCCTTCTTTAATTTTTATTAACATTCAATATACCCATTGCGAATTAAAAAGTTATTTGTTATTTAATTTCTAGTTTTTTTAAAAACAAAAAACGGCTCATATTTTTGCAACATTTTAGTTTTGCTTTACAAGGTTCTTACCAAACAAACCTAATTTTGATTTTCTTTAGTAGTTTTCTACATTTATTAATATAGTTTTACTATAAAAAAAATAGAAAAGAGTTAGTAGTAATTGTTAACTATATAAAAGGGACCGTTATTAGGCCTCCATACAAGCGCTTTAAAAAGGGCGTTGCTTTTAGTCCCCTGGTTATCGGTATTTTTATTATAATAAAACGGGCAATAATACGAGGGCACCGAACATTTCAGGGGACTTTGTTACTATCGAAGACGGTTGTGTTATTCAGGCCTCCTTTATTGGTTCGTACGTGAAAATCGGAAGGAACTGCATAGTAGTACACATTTAGTATTTATACTCACTTTTAAATTATTTTGTTAATTTTCTTAACTACTGTACTTTCTATTTACTGCGTTGCTAATAAGATTTTTATTTAGTAAACAAAGTCTTCTGTGAGCTTTAGTGGCTGGCAATAGTTTTCTTAGCATTGGTTTACTAGTTATACTTTGTTTTTTTTGTTCTCTTTCAAGCCTGTAGAGTTTTTCTTTTTGTTTATTTTAATGCTCAATTTTTAAATTCGTTTAAAGGGCCAAAGATGTGTACTTAAAGATTGTTGTGAACTTAAAGATGACACTACTCTTCCTTCTGATTCTGTAGTACCTCCTTTTACCTTGTACGGTGGATCTCCAGGTTTCAGTTATTATGTATTCACTAATAAATCGTTTCATAGTAATTTTTGTTTATCTCCCAATTATTATTACTTTGTTTACCCTCGAAAGTTATACATTAATAGTGATAGTGCAACATTCTAAAGAAGTGTTAGCATTTAACTAAAGTGAACTTCATATGTAACTTTATAAAGGAATACAAAAAGGTAACTTGACCGGAGCCACTGAAGAATTAAGAAAAGAAGAGTCGAGATCGTTTTATCTTCTTTTTACTAAACGCCAAGAGTTAATAAAATAACTTAAGGGATATATCATACATATGTTATTGCTTTCTATGATATAGTTAACTGTCTTACGTAAAACCTGTTTACCTTTCTTTTAAACATAAACTATTTTTTTATTTTTATTTTTAAAGTTTTTATTATTAGTTTGACTAACCTTCCAAGTCTTTTAATTAATAACTAGATTTTCTCTAAGTGTAAGTATTAGTCTTATTTTACCAGAAGGTCGAGCTGCTAGCTAACAAGTTTACTATAATAAACAATTTTATTAGCAAGCCCCTAATACATTTATAAATGTAACTGTAAAACGCCCATTTAAGGATATAAGTTGCTGCTCGTAGCAGGTCAAGTTAGCCGTAACACACGACTTAGAAACCAACTGCGAGTGACTAGTCTTCGACAATTCTTCAAGCCGTCGACCACAATGCTACGCACTTTACTAGTGTTATTACCTTGTAACTTGCTTATTTGCAATGAACGTCCCACTTTTTCCAACTGTCTTTTGTAGCGGGAAGGGCTAGTTTTTGTACGTTACTACCCTTTTTTGGGGGTACGAAAACTTCATAATTCCAGATAAATACGTAGATTAAGCTTCTTTATAGAAGCTTTAAGTAAATAACAGGGTTTCTTAAAGTATAAGGTGCCTCTTCTGCGTTAAGACATTATAATGAAATTTTAAATGGTTCATAATACTGCAAAATATCTTACTTAGGCCAAACAGTTTAATAAAATATAACCTGGTAAGAAGGAAAACCGCTACAAGAGCGTAAGCAAGCAACAGAAACTGATCAATTTATTTTTAACAAACGGTATTTTTCGGTGTTCGCTAAGATCAAGAGAATCTACGAGCTTTTAACAGGGTGATAGCGCACGTGTGTTATTTGAAGAGGGCCTATAATACTACTTAATAATATTTGAAATTAAGAAAGGGGGTATAATCATCCACGTGGGGGGAACCGGGAGGGGGATCGTGGTTTCCTGTAACGAGCGCAAGACCTGCGTCATACAATGTGTCTCGAACAAATAATTCGTTTAATGAGCTAAAAATTTATCATAGCGCTCCACAGTAATACAACGGAAATATATAGAAAAGCGTTACCATTTTCAAGTCACGACGCAAAGGAACACTCCGGCCACACTCTGAGGTTCCTGTAATAATTCTCAGCAGTCGATTTAAAGGCGCTAATATCTAGTTGACTACCATAGGACCAAGTCATGGTTCCCCAATAATTTACTAATAAAGCTTAAGTTTTTTTGTACAATAACAAAGAACTTTATTAACACAAGAGGGGATAAAATTTTATTCGCTTTGCTATTAAGGTAGTTAAAGTAATATTGCAAGAAAAATGGCTTAATCCAAACAACCAAGTGTAGGGCTTCCGTGTGCCAGGGCGCTACCTGAAAGCAAAGCGTCATAATGCTTTGGTATTAATCCTTTTCTTTGATACAAATATAGCGGTGCTCTTAAGGGAGTTAGTTGTTATTCCCATTGATCAAACCATGTCTCAAGCGCAGAAACGTAAGTTTGCACATGTTTTAAAGTTATATAACAAAATTTGGAGCAGGTGTAAACAACCGTACTTAATTCGCAAACTGTGACAAAAAAGAGGAGGTGATTTTAGTTCTGGGTATGTCCGACTTGCATAAAGCAACTAAGATGAGAAATAGCAGCGAGCCTTGGGGGACGCCCATAGCTAGTTTTTCCCACTCTGACTAAAAAGTTCTTTTACGCGGAAAAGACTTAAGCTATATAGTAAAACTGGTATCTTCAGGATTAATAGTTTCATTATAAGCCCAGCGTACCACATTTACTTATTTGTTATGGAGCACTTACGTGACGAGTTTGGAAACCTCTTCGAAATCCAAACTGAATCACTGGTATACAACAAGTTTTCTCCACAAACTTTGTAATCGTCCAAGTATTATAGCCTCAGCTATTATGCTAATACATGATGAAAGACATAGGGTAGTAGTCTTTATAGGATTTAGAGGGAGAGGCTTTAATTTTTTATAAAGCACATGACTGCTCCGTTTTCCATCTTTTTGGAAATGTACAGGACTTAAAAGAACAATTATTAAGTGAAATTAAAGCCTTTATTATTGCCTCAGTAAAGTTTTTAAGCATGCCATTGGTTCCGCCGTTTGGACCTGGCGGTTTTTCAGTACGCAGAAAGTTTAAAGTTGATATTCCTTCTTTCTTTTTTTTTTTCGAGATATTCGCAAGTTATATTACGAGGATTGTGGTTGTAATTAGCGCCACTTTCTTTTGTAGGAGCTACATCTCTTGTGATCAGGAAGTAACTGAAAACACCTCGCACAAAAAAAATTGGCTTTATCTTACTCATCATTGGTATAATCGGTCTCTGTCTCAAAAGGCGAAGGATAGGGTTTTCTTGGGATTTCTAATTTGATTTTACAAATTAGAGGGGTGGGGGCGGGGTTTCTCTACTTTTCAAGCTCGGCATGTTTCGGTTACCAAATTTCATTGCGCTACTTGAGGCATTTTTTTTTTGACTTTTGCCAAGTTTGTCAAGAATTCCTCCAACATCAAGGTCACGTAATATGTATTAGCCGCCATTTTACTTCCTCAGTTTTATAAGTGCTTCAATCGTAGTCCATAGTGGGCCACCACATTATTTATGATACCTGATGGAGTCAACGTAAATAAACTGTTCTGTAGTGCCCCATCAATCACTTTATCAACTTTACTCTGGTCCATCGTTTAAAATTGTCTCTAGGTTTAAATTTTTTCGTGAAAATTCTATGACACTTTAATGAATAATTGGTTATATTGATTTCTTATAAATTTGTATAAATTCAGAATAAGATATAATGTAGTTTGTATTAATTAGAGGAATTACTTTCTTACTTGTCTTTATCGCTTTTTAAAGTTTAAGTATCGATTAAAACGATTTGGGCGTAACATCCTTCGTGCAAAAATGCTCCGACCTTAATAAGAAATTTCCTTGGCCACTCCATTATAGGGTGTATTTTAAAGCGTTTGAGTGACTATAAAGGTAGCTTATTTAAAGACCTATATTAAAAAAAGCGTAAACATTCAGAGGATAGAAAATATGTATATTTGCCTTTAAGGTCAAGGCAAGCCTTATACTGAGTTCACTCGTGATTGTAGTGACAGTACGGCCACAATATCCCGGATCAAAGCTCAATATGATCCAAGAGTTGCCCTTGCAATGAAACTGGGCTTTCAAAGACCTTGGAAAACAAGAATATAGCTCGACTTGTACGACAAGTGACATTGAGCGCCATAGAATTTGCACAGAAAGCTTCAAAAACAGAAATAAAATTAGATAAACCAGTTTCAAGATCCACCATATCGAGAGCATTGTATTCTGCTGGTCTTAATGTGAAAAAAGTTAATCAAACCCGTTTTGACAGACCGTCCCATCGACTTATTTAAGTTTTCGAAAAAGTATGTAATGTAAATTTTTCTATATCTGACTGGGAAAAGTAATTTCTCGGACGGGACCCTATATCATGGAGGATGGATCATAATTTAGTCCTGTATTACATCTAAGGGAGTCAAGGCTATTGTGTAATAGGTGACAGGGAGCATCACCGTGGTCAAATTGCTTCAACTAAACAGTACTATATACTAGCAACTAACTCAGACTAGGATACTAGCACAATACTAGCACTGTTACTACTACATATTTTGTCCGGAAGTATATACTATACATGACCTTATTAGCTTTCAATATTAGGCATCTAGGTATTATGCAAATAATATTACTTACGTATCACTTAGGATTTGAAAGAGGTTAACTGAAGCTTTCGTTCGCAACTATTTACTAAAGCCAACGTGTTCGCTCACTTATTGATATAGGCACGATCTTTTTCGTGTGCGAGTGTCCAAAACTTACCGAAAGCGCGAAGCTAACGGTTGAACCATCCCACTTGGATGTCAACATAGTGTAGCTGCCAATCGTGGACAATGGGCCCCGAACAGGTTATCTTCAGTTACAGCAAAGTTAAGGAGGCGAAATAGCAACCTCGAGAATGGATCTACATTTCTAAACTCTTTATACGCGTTTTCAGAGTCCTTAATTAACGAAAAAAAAAGTACTTTTACTAGTCATGTATGTGAAGTTGTAAACTGTAGGAAACTGATGGTATCGAACCAACTTAACCTTGTAAAAGGTTAATATTTTCCTTCAACTTAGTTCCATTATCTTCCAACCTCAGGTGCTTCTAAGGTTCCCTGTTACGACTTCTTCAGATCTATTAGCCAAGATTGAGTTTGATCCTTTTTCTTGACTGTTAAGCTCAAAGTGGCGACAATGAGCCATTGTAGAGGTTGACATCCATCAAGACGTTTCAATTCTTGTTTACTTTATATGCCTACTTCAAAAGCTTATTGCAAAGATTTATTCGATACAAAAGTTTATATTTGTCTTATATTCGAGTTTCACATCTTTAGCTCAATTAACTAAGGCCATGATAACTTTTTTGAGTCTACTTTTGTAAGTAGTCTGTTGAGGAAGTTTGTTACGACGAAGCACAAATTTTTTTTTAACAGCCATGCACATTTTATTAAACTAATTGATAAGGTGACACGCGTGCCGTCAAATTAAAAGGCTTTAGTGAAAGAACTCCTCTAGAAGTTGTTTTTTCCACTCTACGTTGCCATAATACCTGTTTGTAGACAGATTGAGGAATTAGTACATCCATCTATCAGCTTTGAAGGCTAGGCTTATATTATCTAAGCGTCTTAAAATATGTTTGGTACTTTAGCTTACGGAGTTCCTAATATTTTGATGGAATTTCATTTCTCAATTCAACCGTTTTAGTCCGTTTAACACTATTTTGAGAAATAAATTGAGCTCTCAATAACCCCGACTGCTGGCATCGGTGTTAGTTCAGCCTGATAATCAATTGATAAATAACTGCTTGTATTAAAATCCCTTTTAACATGGTCAGACTTTAGTCTATGGTCAATATTTAACTGCAGCTGCTACATTTATGGCCTTTGTTTCAATGGCATCACAATTCTTTCACCTTGAAGCGGAATACTAGTTATAGGCCGAACCATCAGATCTTTTACCTGATTAGAACCTTTTAAGAAGCTATTACTCGTTTCTTCACCTTCCTACTGTTATGTAAGAAAATTAGCATGCATGATCAAAAGGGTTAGCTTAATTCCAGTAGCAAAAGTCCACGCTTATTTGCACGTTTCTTACATTTGTATCGACCATGTTTGAACTAGTTTCCTCAAATTAGAAGTTTGATGTTTTACCACATAAACTACAATACTTAGCTCTTGAAGATATGAACTACATTTTATTACTATCATTAGAGTATTTTACCAATAAATTAAGAGCCTATGCTCCAAATTGAGTCGATATAACTAGATTAAAAACCAAAAGATTACTTCTAGCTGAATCGATAACTAGTTTCGACCAGTTGTAAGTCAGTTGTTTCACCTTGGAAAGAAGTGTACTTAAGTAGAACGAAACTAACTAACTAGCACCTGGAAATGCGGCTAACTAACTTGTTCTACTAATTTAGAACGGAAAAAAAGGTAAAAAAATTATTTAAAAATTTACTCTTTTATACTTCCCTAACCCGACGGGGCGGCGTTGTCGTCCATGCTAGCTTGGATGCTAAGAAAGTTCCGCCGGATGGCCCCGTTCGAATGACTCTCCCAGCCGCCTCTGGTAAATCCGAGACTGACATGCAAAATTGTTTTTATAATCTCTCAACTTTACAAGATTATATCTTTTCAGATATAAAACCAATTTAAGATCACGTATTAACAAAATGTAGCTAAACTTAAAAAAATAATATATAAATTTTCAAGTAATCCAATATGTTGTTGAAAAGTTATTCTATATTTAATAAAAGAATGCTAAGCATGGAAACAATCTTTAACGACAATATATCTCCCTATGAAATTAGAGGGCTAGACACCTCAAAATAATATTGTAAGGCATTAGGAAGTGATCTGAAGAGAGAGATCCACTAGCTTGACCAAGTTTTAAGTTCATTCGTAATTTTAACTTAAATTGTGCCTCGTCTTATTAGTATTTGAGCTCCTCTGCTAGTATCCGATTGCTGTTCTGAGGCAGTTTGTAATTGGTAGTGGTATTTCGTCAAAAAACGGGGGCCAATTACACAACCTGGAAATCTTAATGCAAGGCATTTATGAAAGGAATAGCGGAGCGCCGTCATGAAGAGTAGCAGCTTATTTTGTGTCACTTGAAAAGAAGAGGTCACTGCCTGAGAGTCGTAGGGTCCAGGCAGCAGACATAAATGTGATAATTAGTCGTACTCCATACAAGCGTCGCATATTATGCAGGACATCGCATTAACCTTCGTGGCGGCCGAATATATGTGTGGCCGCTACGAGAGCTTATATCAATCACCCCAAGTATACCATTTGTGAGCAACCAATGATTACCCTCCCTTAAAAGTTCAGCAACGGTGGTGCAATGTGCTTTATGATAAAAAGGGTTTTGTTTTTTTCCGCATTCATAGTAATATCCCATTGACAACATCAGTTGGAGACGTTAATGAATAGTACTACATATGCTGGCCCATTAAGGAAGGCGACTTTAACGAGGATTAAAGTGCCGTATTCGCCGTATATATAAGGCCCTCCGATTGTGGGATTGTCGGACTGTGACGCGTCGTAGGATAGAAGAGATCCTTACGGGATACTTGCAGTTTAATTAGTTTAAGGATGAGTGCGCATTGCCTTAAGATGCGTTAAAATGGGTCCCTTTAGGATTTGGTCACGTTTAAAATTAGTAGGGGGGAGGGGGGGGGGGGGGGGGGGGGGGGTTATGGCACGCAAACTGCGAAAAAAGCCCTTCTGCGAAACTTGGTCGAACGCTTTTTTGATGACAAAAAGGACGGAGCCTGTCACCTTCTTAAAACTGAAGGCAGGAGACATCTATTCCGTCAGGCGCAGGAGCTGTTGCGTTTTGGAAATCTCTTGTCGATATCTAAATTAAAACTCTGGCAGGGTATGATTCCCTTCAGTAAACACTCTTGAGCGGGACGGTTTCAGTTACTCTGCCAACGGCTGACAAGAGACTAATAGAATTTTATTTGCTAGGAGGAGAGGCTGATCGCGGTGTCTTCGAGAGCATCAAACCAGTAGTCGTCCTCAGCGCAACGAAAAAAAATGAAGTTCACCGTCGAGTTTGCGAGGCAGCATGGATGATTCATCGTCCCATTAAAATTTGCTTTAATATCACATTAATGAATGATATATCGTGGGAGCCGGATGCCTTCGGTATTAGTAGAGCTTTAATAATTTCCTTAATTTCACAATGTTGATTGACTCAAGCTACTCTTCAGCATTAGGGAGGAAGTGCGACTATAAAAGCACTTCATCTGCAACTAACGAAACAAGTGGTTTATAAAGAGCAGCGAGGTACCAGTAAAAAGTGTCGCTTTGTCTGCGTTATTTTCTGTTACGAAGTCGCCGTCTTTTAGAATAGGTAGTGTAACTGCCAGATGGAGACGCGTCATCATTAGTTTCTAGGATAGGGCCCAACTTTGACTCAAATAGTAGTAATGCGCAGGTGTAGTCACCTACGTCTAACAGAATATCTCCGCCTTTACCGCTCCTATCGAAGCGGTCCTGGGTGTACTTTAAGAGTAGCAAAACTTGAACGAGACACTGGAAAAAGAGGAGTCTCGAGAGCAATTTCTACACTTCATGTTTTTTGCGTAAAACGACATCTGGGTTCCAGGACCGAATCTGCATATGGCGGAGGCTTATGGCCTCCAACTAAAGTTGCAAACGATTATAAGTCCCCTAACTGTCACAAACACTGTTGACGGGCTTGTCATCAAAGTGTTTATTGCGGTTGCCGAGAAGTCGTCTTCGTGGGCAAGCAAGCGACGTACGATATTATCGGAGTTACATTAAAAGGAGTGGATTCTAAGTGTTTGCAGCGCCGTTTAATAGGAGGTCGAAGGTGTTGACAGGTAATATTTGCCGTCATAAAATAGTTGACAGTATATAATTGGCCGCATTTTTGCGTGCTTTTGTGCACTGCATATTTAGCGCATCGAGGGGCCGGAAGACAGAAACTTGTACTTTGTCGAAGACCTGGTCCAAAGCGGTTTTTCTTTCGAAACTCCTTTGCTTTAGCTTAAGGATGGTAACCGTCTTCAAAGCCAACAGCTGTTGTCAATTACACCTCAGTATATGCACCAATATCTTACAAAAGGTCGCTTCTGCACCCCTATTGAAAGTATGCTTTGTTCGCATCCGGGCCATAGGGGAGGATGTAATGCCTTGCGTGCGCAAGCCTTTCTCGATGACCGGGATGTAGAGATCTCAATAAATCCCAGCATGGACAAACATCTTTTTTCCAGGTGATTAATAGGTTTAATATAGACTCGCTTCATGAAGCATACGCGAGGTGGGGGCGCTGCATTCACTTACTTTTCAGAAAATATCTTTTTACTTTCTTTAATATAAATATATGTGCAAAAAAAAATATAAAAATTTATGAACTTTTCAAAGTAAAGATTTCGCACCAAATAGCTGTATTTGGATGAGAAATAACTTTACATTTCTAAGTTTTTACTCGAGAGTACGTTAGCTTCCAATGGTTCCCAATGTTATGGAGTATTTTATCCCTTTGTGTTTTTAAGTGTAAAATGCATTCTGTTAGATAATCTGTAATTTGATAAATTTTAAGATAGTTTATGTGCCAAGAAGTGCCTCAAACCACTTTACCATCTAACTAACAAGCTCATGATGCTACATAGTAACATAGCAAAAGCTCTCTAAACCCAATCCTAACTCAATCCTAACCCAAAAAAAAACCCTAAACCGTAAACTTGTAAAGTATTTATTAATTCATTTCACTTTGTGAAAACTATAAATAGTTATTTAATATAAAATGTGCCTATAATGAAGGGCAAAAATTATTAATATATGACCGATCAAAAGAATTCTACAGTATAAATTCTGCTTGATGTTGTTGTATTGCTAGTGGTCTCCCTAGTCACTCTGGTTGGCAGGCGTGAGTCAGTAAACTGGTTCCGCTTTCTGGCTAGCATCCTTAGCACCGACAGTCACACCACTCGAGTTACACTAGTTTTTATTAAATTGTGTGAACTGGTGAAAATCTCTTCCGCATAAACACTGCACGCTTTCTCCACTAATGTTAAGTTTTTTTTGATAATAAACAAGTGTGCAACAACTAAAGTAACCGTCTAGAAAGTGTTTTCTACCAAAAAAAGTTTAAATAGATGAAAGGCATTTTGTACATCAAAACGGCTTACAATTAACCAAACTTAAAAACTTGATTACAGGCGTCGGGAGCGAGCTCTAGTATTTTTGACTTTTCCATAAAGTTTCTTTTAAAATTATAAATATTCTTCACTTGCAGGTAAATTTATAGTGCTATGGCACCAGTTAAGTCCTCGAAAATTATAGGAACTGGAGGAACTTAAAATAACGTTAAAGCTAGAAGATCAGTAGATGCACCGTTAGCAATGAAGTTAACTTTATTATAGTCGAGATATCTGTAGACGTGCATATATAACAAGATAAAAAAATCTTAATCTGAAACTCTCTGCGCACTACTACAATTATTTTACTTCACTTGTTTAAGGCAATTTTACAAACTTTACATTTCTTCCAAGGAGACAAGTCCCTGAAACAAGTCGCCCTCGATGGCAGTAAGTTGGTTGTTTGTTAAGACTCTGTTTAGACCAAGAACAGTTTTTCTTATAAAGGCGTGAGGGAAGTAAAGTTTACGAGCTAAAGTCTTGGACTGAGCTTATTGTTACAGTAAACTAACACGTATCGGTAACTATTTATTACAATCTTTGCAGTTTGACAAGGCCTCTGAACAGAGAAGAATCCAAGGAAGAAATCCGATTAGAGGGGAGAGCCCTAAAAGTACACGCAGAAACTCCTAAAGAAAGAGGTTTTTTTCTATTCTTCTAAAAGCTCACTGCTAATAAATTTAGTATATATTACCTTTTGTTTATTTTTTAACATTATATTAATATTTTATAATTACTATATACCATTGTTATTGTTTTATAGATTTATTACTATTATTTATATGTTTGGGCATTACAAAATAATTTTTTTAAAAATTTACAAGTAATCCGGAGCAAGAAGACATGAAAAAAACTCGGAGCAATCGAGTTTATCTTATTTTCTTCAATTCTTTTAAGCAAACAATATTTTAAATGGTAAGGAATAATTTAAACAGTTAATGGTTAAGGTACCTAAATTTTTTTTACCGACTTGAAAATAATACTTCTATTTTAATAAATTTACACTTCTAACTTTTTTACTTTTAAAACTACCAGTATAATAAGTAATAACTTTTTACTTATTTAGGAAAAAATTGGTTGAAACTACCCGTCCTTGTATAGGAGTACCTGCCTTAACCCCAAGGAAAAAGAGATGTGAAGTCCAGAAGGGTTAAATGATTTTTGTCAGCAACTTTTTTATCTTAATTATTACTACATAAACGACTGCACCGGGGGGGGGAGATTGAAAGGCCACCAACTAAGGGGCCCATTTTTACTACCGGTGCCCGTTATAAACATTGTACTTTATGCATAAATATGTCCACGTGGAGGCAGAGAGCGCATTAGTACCGGCTTTACCTTACGTAAATATTGTTGCATAACAGCATACACGTGCCAGGGATAGGCCTACTGATTATAAAAGTCTCTTTGCGCTTTGCTTCTTTGATGTGGTAAAGTCAGTATTCTCTAAAAGGTAAACCATAAAGATTGTGTACCACAGTACGCCTATTTTTACGAAAACGTACTATATACAAAAGCGATAACTCTAACTTCACATAAGGGAAAAGCTGTTAAAAGATAAATAAAAACGTTAATAACTTACAAGATAAGTAGTTTTGTGAGTTTTTCGAAAGGAGAATTAACTAAAGCAGTCAGTTTGTGTTCACTCAAATCTCTGTAGACGGAAACAAAAAAAAGCAAAATTAAATTTATAAAGATAAATAACCAAAATTAAAGCTAAAAACACTCGTTCGTTAGTTCTTCTTTAATAAATTATAGATAGCACGACTTTAACTAGAAATCAAGAGAGGATTTACTTTAAACTGCTTTAAAAAGGCATTCTTACAACTTATTGCAACTATACGAGCTTGTTAGTTCATTGTTATTCAATTAAAATTTACTTTACTATGAAAAGAATAATAGAGTTAAGAAAGGAAAAAGATCTAAAGTTAATATCCAATTAAATATTTATAAAAAAAATACATAGCGAAAAAAATCAGAACGTCGCTGTTAGCTCCGAAGAAAGTTTATTAGGATCCGAAAACCTTTGCAACTTACAGCGCAAAAGTTTTCTGCAAAGTAAATAATACAGTAAATTATTGCTATCTCGGAATTAAGGTAAATAATAATATTACAGGAATTTCATCTAATCCCGCATTAAGCTAGCCAAAGTTGGATACTCAAAAGATGTGTTTTTACTCGCTTAATTTAAAAAAATTACAAGCATAATATTGCTACTGCTTAATTATTATCACAAAAAAGTTGTTATGCTGTGAGTAAAATGGAAACCCACAGCCCGATGGTGGTAAATTTCCTGTTTAAGTCTTATTCATCTTCAAACTTTATCCTCACACGACCGGAAAATATCAGGAAGGTTTAAAAGCTCTGTAACTGAACTCGGGTATTTCTTTTAAATATATTAAAATATTAACCTAAAGGAAAGTGTATACATAAAAGAACGCAATTTTTTCTTAGTTTTACTTCTTATCTATTTATAGGTGGAAGAGATAATAACTAATTAATAGCTATATGTTATAGGTATAACCCATCATAATTTAGAAAAGTCATCTTACAAAATAAGGTATTCGATTTTTGTTGACAGAGATCCTCTGACAAAACTAAGATAAGGCAACTATAAGATAACACAAGAGCGAAGCCAACCATACTAACTGTAAAAGTCAATGACTAAAGTAACTAAATTAATCTGCTTTAATACTACTGATGTTTTTGTGGTGTACGCTTTTGAGACATCAAAAAAATCTTTAACCATGACCAGGAAAAATTGTTTTTTTTTTTGGGTGTCTTTAAATTTTAGGATAAGTAAAGTTTCTCTAATAGAAACATTATTTTCTTGCTAAAAAAAAATTATTATTGATATTATATAAATTTAGTTGAAAGGTGTCCTGTTGATCTTGTAAATATTATTATCATAAACTGTTTTTTTGGAACCTATGAAATTGCTAATAGGCTGAAAGGCGTTAAAGATATCTTTGTTACAACGCTTGGTCCGAGATGAGCAATAATTTTACTTTAACGGGATTCAATAGTAGACACCTACGAGACCAAGTACCGGATTCGATATTTTTTCTCTAGTTTTCTTGCTTTCTCTATAAGGTTCAATTCCCGAGTCTAGTTTTTTTAATTTTGCCTTCCCGGTTGGATGTTATTTGTCCTTACAAAATTTTACAATCTTCCGTGATCGTGACTAAAATTATTCTGTTTATTTCATAGTAAAAAATTAGCTTTTTAGTCAAACAAGAACTATTAATTAGTTTATTATAATTTTGTTAATAAATTCTTATTACACAGTTGTTTTTATTTTTGGCGGAAAATATTAACTACAATCAATAAGGAATAAAATTTTCATGCTTAACTAAAGCCAAAGGAAGAGGAAGTTGAAACTTCAAGTCTAATACTTCTAGTAATTTTTGAAAATAAGAATTAGGAAGAAATGAGATTAAAAGGGTCATAACAATTGCTTTCCCTAATATTCAAGAATTATGGATGCAGGCGCGCTCTAAATCTTTGTATTTTTTTTTATTTAGTCCATAAACCAATGTGGACTATATTACGGCGCATATAAAATCTTAATATAGTTCAATGAAAATTTTTACTTTTAACTTCTTGTCGCCTTATTTAACGTTAGCATGCGTTATATTAACGATGGCATGTGCAGATAGTTAAATATACAAGTAAGTAACACCTATAGTGAAGATATCCGCTTACGCTGACCATGAAGGGAGAGGATTTACTAACCAAGTATAAAAGGAATTAGTATTAATATCATTTTTTATTATTTCCACCCTTCTATCATCTACTTTCATTTCAATTCTTTTTTTTAAATAATATACCAAATTAATTGGTGGTTTTATAACCTTTCCAAACATTCTAAATGGATGCTTCCTTCTTAAGCCTACATCAATTTTTAACAGTTAAATTTACTTCCAAGACTTCCTCTTAGTTTTTTTTTTTAATTTTATTAGCCCTGTTCAAAGTTTCAAGTCCGTTTTTTTTAGGTTATTAGTAAGCGGTCAAGGCCTTGTGGATATTACAACTGAAAATCTTTAACACTTAAAAAATATAACCCAAACCTTATACTATTTTCATCTAGAAAGTTGATGTAATGTTGATGCCTAGGGGTAGTGGCAAGTAATAATACAAGAATAGCTACAAATGAGAGTCGCATACTGATGAGATTGGCTGACCACTTAATTAATTAAACTAATAATGAATTAATTCTTTTTTTGTTCTCCTGTAATTAATATAGATAATATTTTTTTTACCAGTTCTGCTCATTTGGTTATAAGCACAGATACTTTACCCCACCTTTAAGAAATGTCTTAGCATAATTTAAATGAATTTATTTTTTTTTCACACTAAGGAAGGAAAAACCACAACAGATGCTTATAGGCTATAAAACCTCGCATTAAGTTTATAATAAACCAAATAATACTAACCCAAAAGTGTTATTACCCCGAAAGAAGCCAGCACACGGAGTTATTTGGGAGTGGAGGTGGGTGGTGGTCACGGTTTCACCAACCCCTCCTCCCTCTTAGGCTACCGTACCCTTTCGGCTTGGTTCAAACTTTGACTTTATTGGAACCACTGCCAACTCATGGGTTGATAACTATTGCTGCCCTCCGGATAGTGCCGTTTCTTTCATAAAGTTTATAAATGGGGCGCTTCAGTTAAGTACACAAAATCAATGATCATTTGAAACGCTTAAGTTTGGGCAAATGATAACAAGAATAAGCATGTCCAATAGTATAGGACTTTTCAAAGTTAAAAGAATTTTTAGACGTTCTCGACTGAATTTCCATATATAATTTTTTTAAAAGATAAGATACAAGGGGGAGGAGTTAAAATAAGTGGGACGCTTCTAAAATTTATTTATTGCTATAGTTTTTTTAAGGTGTTTGGCTCTAGAACAATAATAAGGTCCTTAATATAACCTTTATAATATAACGCAAGAAACGTATATAATAAGCTAAATTTAAAAAATTCTTTAATGTTTAAGCGCAGCTGTCTTTCTACATATAAGTTGAAGCCTGGTGTAAAGGGCGTTAAAGACATCGATCTATTAAGTACTGGGAAGATACTTCAGCCCCTTCTGAACAACAGTACGAAGCTGATATAGTAATCAGGTTATGTTGTAGACTTAAAAAATCTTTTTTTTTGTCCAGCAGTATATTCGTAAACGTGTTATTTTTTCTAGCACAACACCATCCACAGGGAGCGCCTGTATGAAGCATAATTACTTATGTTTACCAAAGGTAGAAACATTTGTACACTTTAAAGAACATATACACATTATGCACAGTAATTAGACTGCCCCTCGTATACTACAAACACGATCCACCGGGGATACCATGAGCATTAAAAATTAGGCCTTCTCCCGCGCGATCGGCAGCCTTTATTTAAATTCGACCGACTTGCTTATTAACAAATGCGTGTAACCAGCGAAAAAAACCAAAACCAGCTTAAAAAATAAGAGAAGATCCCTTTTTATTACTAAACTGAATGGAAAAAGACCATCTACAAGTGTAAATTTCTAAATTTTTTTGTAGTGAATTATAGTGAAGACAAGTTTAATAAAAGTTGTTTGAGCCATTTCTTAGCTAAAGAATCATCTTTAAGAAATTGAGTAAATAATGGATGTTTCAGTGGATCCGGAAGACATTTTTTCAATACTTCGCGTGCTCTGCTCGTTCATTAATTATGAAAAGATTATAAAGAACGGTTATCAAAATGCCCGCACACTGACTTTAAATATGTTTAACAACTAAACCAGTACCGTGATATCCGCAAAAAGGAACCAGCAAAACTTAATTAAAGCAGCACAACGAAGCTATAAAGCAAGTTTAGTAGGTACAAGAAAACAAACTGAGAGCGTTTGTCATAAATTAGAATGGCCAAGCAATATTATTTTAATTCATTTTAAGCTCAAAAATTTTATCATAAAAAACGCACAAATTGAAAAATTAAGCACATGCACACAAAACTTTTAAAGAAGAACTGTCTGGAGCCGTAAGCACAACGTATACAATAGAATCAGAAAGATTAATAAAGATTACTTGAAATAATTAGGTAAACCAATGGAAACAATAATAGAAATAAGCCGACAAATAAGTAGTCGAACTTTGGATTTTCCGAGAGACGCAGATAACAACGGATGATGTGGCGGAAGAGGCGAGCGGTTTGCGGCTCCAGCGTTCCTTGCAGTCTATATAAAAAAAGCTAAAAGCAAAGGTCTACAGGTGGACTGGGGGCGAGAGGTGGGTGCCTGTGGCTTTCAAGCAGACTCTGCACCATCAAGCCGAGCACAGTGACGATGGAGAGAAAACGGTCGGAGGACTGGCACACAAAGTTCAGCCCGGACTCGTCTAGAAGTATTTTTTGCACTATAAAGGTTGCTACCTACGGAGGTGGTACTGAATTATAAAAAAACTTTCCACTAGTACACTTACAGCTACACTTCCCGAGCTAATTATTTAATGCCTTCATAAGATACGATTACATACTTAAACTTTTAACAGAACACAAAGTTATTATATAAACTATGGGTTCTAGGATACCGTCTTAGAAAGCGAAGCTCCAATCTCCATGATTCTTAAACACAATGGAACAAGCTCAGTGGACAAAAAAAACCCAATAATTTCAGGGTCGTCCGTCTAATAAAAATGAATTATTAATTTTCTATAAAAGACTACAAATGAAATTAGAGAACATTACTTATTGTTTTAATAGTTATAAAGGAATAAAGGAAAAAATGCAGAACTTTCAAAAGAACACAAAAGTAATACTTTCACTAAAGCACCAATAACACCGAGGCTTCTCAAACGCAAATATTGAAAAGGAAGTGCGGGATTGGTGGTGTTCAGGAAGGGATACACTAACATCGGGATGTGTGCTATGTGTATGGTGCGTTAAAATTTAAAGTAAGATTAGGAATTATGATAAATTTTTTAGCAAGCAAGATATATTTGAAGTAAAAGTAAAAATATTAACTTAATATAAAAAGAATAATAAATAATTATAAATAAATTACAACTTTTAAAACCACCATTGTTTTTTTTATCATATAACTCGTACTAAAGTCAAGAATAAGTACAAAAAATAGGTTAAAAAAAACTCTCAATCTATCAGTAACTGTAAAGTGTTAAAAAACTGTATTTACTTTTGTTTTTTGTTAAAAAAAAAGTAGGTGAATCTCTATATGGAGATCAGAAAAGCGCCTGTACTACACAATCCAAATTTAAAATATAAGTGTGCAGCCTGTAAATATATGCCTTATCTTTCTCAAGTTAGCAATACCGAATATAAATAAAGTTAGGCTTAACTGACTAACTAATGACCTTTTAGTAGAAGATTTCTAGTGTCAGGATGAGACGCAAGACACTGCAAAAGTGCAAGTGCATTACATACGCGGTTGGATGCTTGACTGGTTAAAACAGGCGGAGATAACAGAGGATAAATAACCATTATCTCCTGGACTAACGCAGCTGCAGTACCTAATTAATAAAAAAAATGTAGAATGCACTCTAACAAGATTTCTGAAGTAAAAACCTATTGAAAACCATAATAGGGGAGCTAAGTCAGGAAAAAATTCTCTGTTTTTGTTAAGCTCAAGTAAAGCCTGCTCCTTCAGCTTAGGGCTAAAGTATTTAAAGTTAAAAATTAATATTTTAAAACTAACTATATTAAACTATATAAAGAAAATATAATACGAAATTTAGAAAATTTTATAAGTTAATAATTTAATAACTATAAAATTAACGACTTTTTTAAGTCACCAATGAGCTGAAATAACTTGCTCCTGCTTGTTTGAGCCTCGTAAACGGCTCCATCCAAGTTTTTAAAGTTCATTAACTATTTTACTATAAATACATAATAAAAAATAAGTGGTATCGCCAGTATATAACGGAAGGCATAGCAGGCTAACTGAAAGCCTATAAGCGCTTTTTTAAAAATAAGTCATGTTAACTCCAAACCTTTTAGACTATCTATTAGCTTTGTTACAATTTAGCTCATTTTATATAAAAGTGCTTTATTAACAAAAGTCAGAAGAAAGGTGCCAACCTACATATACGAGCAAGAAGGCCAGGAGATTTTCATCATTTACGTTCTGCCTCTCATCGACTTGCTCGTCTGAGAACTGATTTTTGCCCCCTCTTTCATCTCTCCCTTTTGAAAAGTCGTTTATTTGCTATTTGGGAAATCATTAATGTGGCCTTTTCCACGCTCCGATTTTATTCCCATACAAACTTGTTTTCTGTGAATAAGTAGGATTTACTCTTGTAAAGTACTCTTCAGGGTCTTTAGCATGAGTAGACCGAAGCTGGGCCCAACTAAAGGCAATAAGAAGACAGACAATATTACAGTTATGAGTAGATATTAAAAAAATATGTCCTTCTAAATTTTCGGGTTTTTAGCTTTGTACATGTTATACACGTAAAACCATCGTAACGGTATTGAGTTGTGATCGTAGCTCAGCGATTAAGAGCATAGAAGCGCAAACTCAAGGCCGTGGTGGTAATTACGTTTTTTCTTCTATTAATGGTTTTTGCGAATGCCCGGTAAGCCGAGCGCCTACCGCTTAGTCTTGATTCGGGCGGAAGTAGGTGCCCGTACATCTTCAGGAGTATCATGGATATTCCGATTTTCAAAGGGGAAGTGCAGTACGTGGTTAGCTCCCGGTCACCCACAAGCAGACTAACCCAGATCGAACAGGGTTGAAGAGATTTCCGCCAGCGCGCTTCCCCAAACTACCTATTTAAACTTCGCCTTAAGCTTAAATAGCTGCTACTCTTAATGTTAATAATTTTAATACCTAGTTACACTTCAGCTCAACCGTTATTTTAAGTTATACTTGCTCATTAAAACTAAGTTAAAGAACATTTTCCTATTATATTAGTTTGCGCTAATAGTAGTACTGTATATAGTATTACTAATATGTGGTTCAACAAAAAAAATTACAAAATAAAACGCCTGCGTAAATATTTAGCTATTCTGGCATGTGATATATGCTCTGATCTTTTGCCGAATATACACTGTGCAAAGTTAATAGTAAAGCGGAGTGCTTTAGAAAATCAGCGATTAACTATTAATGGGTTAGCTCGCTTACCTGTTGATCAAGAGTGAAAACATAATTAGTGGAAAATAGTCAACAAAAGGTTTTAAAAAATTTAAAAGTTAACGTGACTGTACTCAAACTATTATAAAAAAATACTTGCTTTGTTGAGTAGTTTTAATTTTTATTTTGCGTAAAATTTATTTCATAAAATGTAAAAATAAAAAATCAATAAAATTGTCATTATTTTTTTCTATCTAGGATTCTTATCTTTGAACTTTGTGTTTTTTGTCTTCATTATTCCGGTGGTTGTTTAAATTTTTCTTTGCTTCATTATTTTTTCTTTTTGTATTGTTGTTTATTTTTTGTTAGTGTATAATATATATTACCAAGCAAAGAACAAGTAGTGGGAAAGAGGGGTGGAAAGGCAACACAAGCAAATAGTCTTGGCGTGCAATGTAACAGACCTTTTGTATTCATGCGCACAAGTTAAGTGCAAAAGCTAATGCTTTCACACTATTAATATGAGTAATTACGTCTTTACCTCGAGTTTAAGGGGGGTAACAGACAAGTGCACTAATAATTTAGTCAGTAAACTCTGCGACAAACAATACCTCCATCTCGTTACTTATTCACTCATTTGTTTTTCGCATGCATTATATCCCCAGGGTACTTCAGACAATATATTTCTGTTAATTTTGAAGTGTGAATGATCTGTTACTGCTTTACATGACGGATACAGTTATGGCATAGTGAGCACGGAAGTTAGAGTTAAATACATCACCATACTACTCTTTAAGGATAAAAGTTTAGAAAGACGAATGATGAAGTGAGCCAGAAAACAACAATTTTTTTAAAATATAAAACGCCCTGCGTAATTGTTGTTCTCGCTATATATTAAAACAATTGTTACTACCATAAAATTCTTGGAGCAAAGCAATATGTATCGCAACACAAAACATCCGAATGCATAATTATTTACGAGCCCTCGTCTTCTATGAGGTTATAACTATCACCTGACATACAATATTTAATTGTCGAGGTTCTGACCCCTTAAAGCCGCGCATTTTGCAAGTGAAGACGCAAGTAGGGAAGACCTTTAAACGCTATTGCCAATTTTTTTTACACTTTAATGGTCAATATCAATTTATATCAGAATACCGCTTAGAAAAATGAGAGCTCGAAGAATTTACAGTTTGTATGTTCTTAAATATACTAAAGAGACTCTCCGCACTAATATGACGCTATTGTGTGAAAATGTGTGTGCTGGTAAAATACTTCCTTAATTTTTATTTTATTTAAGAGTAGGGCGTGTATGATGTTAGCAGTAAGTATACTATTCCTCTTAAACATTAGAGTTTGGATTAAAAGTGCCGCAGAACAACTATTTAGCCACCTTGATAGTATGCGAAACTTTACAGTCTCTCTATCATAAGAGTCACTGCGATTGTAATACGTAGTGCTCATAATCTCTTTAAAATTTCTTCATATATTCATTTAACAGAGTTCTTAAAACGGTCACTTCCTCTTGGGAAAGCCCTGTATAGTATGAGTAGCTTTCCTATATTTGCAAGCGAGTTATTAACCGTCTAGAGTTTAAAGTCGATTGGTCGCTTACCTTGGCAAGCCAGTGATGACTGCAAGCTTTATCGAGGCCCATTCGTTCCACGGGGCTCATGCGCATCAGTTTTTCTATGAAATCTTTAGCAGCGGCAGAGATCTTTGCGCTTTCTTCTTCGTCTAGCTCCAGTGAAAAAATACAGCGAGCATTCAGGTCGTTGCCAAAAGGAGCATAGCCCAAAAGAAGTATAAAAGTCATCGTCTTCAATAAAAAAAATTAAAAAAAACTGATAAACACTCATAAAATTATTTTTAAAAAAATATTAACAAAAAAAGTGTAAATTCATAAAATACCCCCAAAGCCCATAGATCTACTGGAAAAGAGTAGCGTTTCATCGAAACTATTTCAGGTGCTTATGAAAAAACCCATTAAAATGCACTTTTTTAAATTATTAACTTTGCGAACAATAAAATGTTTTTAAAATACTTATAAAAATAGAATTATAAATTAAACACAATATAATAAAGTAACCATTAGCAAAAATAAAATCTGTTGCAATTTTCTCAACTATAAGTTTATATATATTGGGACGGAGTATAAGCTTACATAAAACACATAATAAAGCTAAAACATAAACGTTCAATTAAAAAGGTAAAGAAGAGTAAACCTGCGTAATACCGACTGTAACAAGGAAGCCAAAACTCCTTTGAGGAACTAGCCATGCCTGAAAAGCCAAAGTCAGTCAGCCGAACTGCATCATTTCCATCGCATAGAATGTTCTCAATTTTAAGATCCCTAAAGTTGTTAATTAAAAATAATCTTTATAGAAAATTTATACAAAGTTTGAAACCGATAAATTAATCCATTTCGGTGCATAAATAAAAGCACGTCCAAAATTTGCAAAACAATCTGACTTAAGGGTAGGCACTTTATAACTAATAAATTTAACTTTGGAGAACCTTCTTAGTCACAGCCTCGCTTAAAACAAGTTCTTTAGAAAGTCTTTCGAACAGATCACCCTCCTGAGCGAGTAACAATAATAAACCAAACTTATAATATTAAAGCTTATCTACGTATTATATTAAATATATATAATTTTATATATAATAAAGAATATTAACTAATAAAAGTATGAAACAAAAATAATATAAATAAAATTTTTACAAATCAAAATTATAAAAAAGGACTAAGGAACTTTAAATGTAAAAAATTTAGCTTTTACATAACTTCATATTAACCTTATTTTTATACAATGTTATACGTAACTCAAAAAAAAAAAGGTTAAAAAATATGTAATATTTGCATAAAGTTGAAAAAAACCAAAGTAATCTATAAAGATTAATCATGAACAACTATGAAGCCAAAAAAAATTAAATACTCGGTTATAACCTTATAATCGTAAAAACAAACACGAAAGTAACGAGTTACAATAAATTTAGTGTGAAACAAAGTTATATATTCATAAATTACACAAATTAGTTGTTATAAAAAATAACTTTACAATAGTCCATCACCAAATAGAAATTAACTCCTTTTTTAAATACTTGCTTTAAAGTTAGAACGCAAGGGTGAAAGCTGCATATAAAATGGATTTTAATTTCTTCTAAAAAGTCTTTAAACGGAATTAAACTCGTTTCAATAATCTAAAAAGGAATTTATATATGTATATATATAAAATTAAAGTAATTATAAAAATTGCCTTGAAATAGTTAGCGTTTATACCTTTACTGCGTATAAAACTCTGGAAGACAGTTGATAGCATCCGTATACTTGGGAAAAAGGGCCCTTACCTTTAAGATTGACGTGAAAATAGATTTTAAGTACGCCATAATCTCTGTACCGAGACACAAGCCGTAGTCAATTTGATATACTTCTTCAAAGTCTTCATTAAAAGTCAAAACGGATGACAACTAAAACAAATTGTTAAAATGTTAATTACGTATAATTAAAATTTTAATTAAACCTTTTCCTCTATAAAAAGAGAAAAACTTTTTTCAACCGAACAATAAAGATTTTTCATTACTTAGTACAGAGTACACCCATGTACACGAAGGAAGCTGCTTACTTGGAGTCTAACTTTAAAGGCGCAAATTTACTGGTGCCGCTTAACCAATTAAAAGGTTAATTTAAGCTTATAAGCGCGCAGTAAGGTAATTGATGACATCACTCGCCCCAAGCTGTTCTTAGGCGAGGATCTAAGGCAAATCAGTAAACCTAATTTCCTCTAATTTTACATACTAGTTATAGGCGCTACAGTTTAACTTTAACTACACATAGGAGGAGCTAAATTTAACACAGTTTGAAAGTATGAAACGACGCATTTAATTAAAAAGACTTTCCCCACAGTATCAATATTATTTAATTATATGAAAAGCAATATGTCTTCATTAGCAGATGGGTAAAATATCATCTACAGCATAATAATAATTAGCTTAAAAGTCTCAAGATAACTCTTGTTTCGCGCAAGCATTGCGCCCGTCTTGATGGGCAACAAGCTTTTTGCACCTGAAGAGACGATACCATAGCGCTTAAGGTATACACAAATTGATTAAAAGCATATATAATATTAACTGAGACAAGATACACAAAGCTCCTATTGCTGTTGCGAGAGCATTGTCTAAGGTGATTTTAAAATATATTGCAGAGGGCACCGTGAAGAGCTGCGTAGTCCAAGATCTGCGATGCTTTTGCTACAGTGTTTTTTTCGTGATAAAAAATCCCTGGGTTATCTTTATGTTGAAATTAGGCCCCTTATTGACAATACCAATTATCAGGGCTCTCATCTGCGTACAATACAACTGGCACTTGGTAGCGGTAGGCCGAGCCACTAGGTGCAAATAGAGATCGAAGCCCTTAAAAGCTTGGCGTAGTGTTTCAAGGTTTTGGACGATGAGCTCGTGTAAGAGCTGAGCGAGCTTTGGGTGCTATGCGGGTACGCAGCTCATGGAGCAAGCCTTAACCTTTTACCTCAAGACGGAGCTAGTTTCTTTCTATTTCACCTTTACAGTAAAACCTTTTGTGAAAAACAAATTATAAAAAAGTTTTTAAGAATGTCAGGCTTTATTAAAAGAAAATACTAAATTTTATCTAATAAATAAGTTTATTTAATGGGACCCTACAGGGTAATAAACCTTTATAAGGGCTAATACACCTGTACTAAACGTGAAAAACTTTAATAAATTAAAGCACTTGGTATATTTACCTGATGAACTAATAAGAAGTAATTCGCTTTCGGTCAACTCAGTCCTCTAACCAATTTAAAAGTTGTCTGTGTATATTTACTTATACCCTGAATTTGCAATAAATATTATCTCTTATTAACTATGGGTTACAGCAAAAATTACTAAGAACACAACTAATATTTTATAATCAATTATCAATATTACTGAAAACTTACTATAAAATGCAATATCTTATATTAATTTTTAGTTTGGAAATCTTGCGGTCTATAACTAGGTTATAATATTCAGCATTCCCCGACCAGGAACTACCGGTCGACGAATTGAGAGAACAATTTTTAAAATTACAAACAAAACTAGAAGAAGTTTACCAAACAAATAGATTTCTATAATAATTTTTTATCTAAGGATGATGTTTTTAGGAGAAGAAAAGTTATCAACTCCCCAAAACTTCCTTGCACACAAAAAAAAACTTGTGTGAAATACTTAGAGACGACGTAAATATGAAATGCAAAACTATTAATATAGCAAGTGACCGAAATATAGTAAGAAATATGAACCTTGACGATAGTTATAATAGTAATTATAAACATACTAACATTTTTAGTTTTAGAAGCGCATTTTTCAATAAGGTGACAAACAAACAATGCTAAGAATAAAAAGATAGACCCACTTCTTGGCTAGGAGTGGGGCGTTACTCATAAAAAACCCATCCTGAACGTTAATTTAAGACTCAATAATAATGGTATGGTTAACATTTTCTCAGCCTTTAAACCTTTCGGAAGAAGGCTAGAAGAATAGGATATCTGTACAATATTCTCTGGATCGATCTTTCTTAAAATTGACGTAAATGCATAATCCTTGTAAAGTGGTGTTCCGGCTAGGCCTTAGTTTACCCGACTTATTATTAAGCCACAAAGCACAAATTTGATGTGCTCGTCTCAAAGGTTCCCTTACCGCTAAGAAAGCGTGCGGTCTAGATGATATATATCGAATTCGATGTTTAGACTCTCAGTAAATGCATGCACGTATATTAATGAATATGATTTTGTTTAATAAACGTTTTTGAACGCTGGAACTACCCCACTTTATCATAATTCTACAAAATGGCCACCCCTAGTTCTTTCTAAAAAATTATTGACCTATAAGCTTGCTATCTTGTCTCGAAAAAGTCGCAGCAGCGCTTATCTATAAAGATTGAAGAACTTTGTTAAAAAGCAGTCTATAATTCCTAAGTTACACTTCGGTTTTTATAAGGTCTGTCCACCAATCCTTGAATTTCTGAGCATGTTACTTAAGCGTTATATAAAAAAAAACCTACAATTTTTTACTCTCAAGTGTGCTAGGAGTTTTCGATTATGTACGGCACTAAGAACTAATCTTAACAATGACAGACTAAAATATTTCTTCATACTCTAATATGATTAATTGAGTTTTTACAAAAGATAGAAAATTTACTTCCCTTTTAGCTGGAGTCCCTGAAAGCTCTCTTTTGGACCTCACTGCTGTTTGCTATCTTCAATTCTAAGAGCCGTTCCAATAACAATTATTTCTTGAATAGTATGACCTTATAATTTTTTTTATACAAGTACCTAAGCAGGTCCCTTGACTGTGAAAAATATGCAAGCATACCTATTCTTTGTTAAAAATTGATATTCATTTAACAAAAAAAACTTTGTTTAGGGTTTAGTCATCTTTACAGCATAGTTACGCGTTTAATCAATGTGCCTTGTATACTATTATTGATTTTTGTTAGTCGTATTTCTGTAAAATTATTAGTACCTATGTAAGAGACTCGCCCTCCGGCTGGGAGCTTCTAATTGGAGTTTCTGAATGGCATTTTTGGGTCGGTCTTAAGGGAGAGTCGGTTTTATGACCTCTCTCCTAATGGGTGTGGGTTTTACTTGCTACCATCACACAAGACTAATGCTGGGAGCCCGGGCCCGATATCGCTCTCTTCTGGTCCTTTGGGAGCGTATACTGGTGTACACTGTGCCCGATTCCCTATAAATATGGGAATACAGATTGAGCAGCTTAATTTCTCTTTGAAGGTCGGCCGTAGTATGCGGGTCAGAGAGAAATAGTGGGGCTCGTTCTTTTTTTTGTTCTACGTTTTTCTTCTCCTAATTGCTAACCAAGACTCTGCGCTCTTAGTGTCGTGGCTTTGGAACCAGCCATATTGTTTAGGTAATAGTTAATAGTTTAATCTAGAGGACTGGAAAGATATAAAGGAAAGATATAAAGGTTTAACGTAGAGACTGTTTTTGTTAAGGTAAGGTAACTTAGAGTCTATAGGATTACGGAGTAAATAGTTTGTTATAAAATTATTCCCACTAAATGCGAGACCTACTGATCTCTTGTAGAATAAAACATTGCCTGGCGAGCAAGATGACTATTTGATAATCCTCTGTGCTGACAGGCTAAATATCTTGTAGTACTTATTAATTACATGGTCAAGTAAGACATTCATTTGGGCTACCTGACTAAAGAATTTAGAACTATTAGTATTGCTCTATAACCTCTACTTTACAAGAGGAGCGATTTAAGTTAAATCTAAGGGATAAGCTTCTTCAACATAACGCAAGTTAAAACATCTCGACACCAATACCTAAACTAAAACAAAATTGGTTAGAAATAGCTATGTTAGTATAATAATATCAAGTTCAATTTAAGTAGCAAAGTTGAACGCAGATAGCATTGCGCTCCAATCCATGTAAATGTATGCGTCTTTCGCTTAGATCTACTCTCAAGAAGACTACACATTCTTAAAAATAATCTTCCTTGACGGTCTTTAAATGCCCTGTGGTAGTCTTAAAAAAACTTGTAAATGCACCAAGACTGTAAGATTGAACACGGGAATGATTGAAACAACGTAAAAACTGTCGTAGGCGGGTCAGCACTCACATTAAATTACTTTGTTTTACGATAATAACATATCTTTAATATATTAGATTCAAGAGTTAATATTATTATATAAAGTATCTAAAATAATAAATGTGAAATGATATATAAACACATATACGAAAAAACGAATAAAAAAGAAGATTAAGAAAAGATTGAGAAAAACTATGTTATTAAATATTAGTATTTGCCTTATTTATATATTCAATTAGATAATATGGATGCGATTAGATTCTTTGCACTGTATATCAACAGAAAAACATCCACATAAAGATTCATTTTCACAGTAAGCAACAGTTGGGCTTACCCATTTACGTTGACAAACTGTGTACTACTATAAATACTTTCTCCTCTTTAACTACTACTACTAATAATAAGTGATTGTAACAAAAAAAAAATTTTTTTTTAATTACCTTTTAAAAAAAACTATATATAGTAATTTTATTGTTAAGGATTCCTTGGTAACAGTGTAATGGCTTGCGAGCAAATAGTATGAGGTGACTTTATGAAATTAAAAGGCCATTAATGGCAATTAACGCAATTAATATAAGAAAATTATAAAATGCACTAGCGGGTCATATATATGTAAGCAACACTTTTACAAAAAAACAGGATTATTCTGCCGTTTTGAACTTATGTGCCTTGTAACTGTTATTGGTTTTGTTTGGTTTGAAACTAAGCTATAATCATACCAAAAGAAACCATGTCCCTAAAATAAAAACTGTAATCTAAAGGGTTGTCCATAAGGCTTGGAAATAGAATATACTAACGAATATGCGATCTATACTAGATAAGCATAGAAAATTAACTATATCATTTTCAAAGCCTACTCTTCGACCGTGCCAAAAGACTAATGAGTAAGTAGTAAAAAGGACGTACACTATTGACCGTAGTACGCTAAATTCATGAAAAAATAAATTAATTAGTAAGAACAATCAATAAAAAAAATTTCCCTCGTTGTTTCTCGCAACTATTACTTATATGTTAAAAACCACAGTTAAAATATAAGGCAGAAAATGTATTGCTAGTGTCTTTAAATAGGTTAAAAAGCTAAAAAACCAGAAAATAAGGTTATTTTAAGTACAGTTATATTTTTAATTAAAAAATAAGATAACTCAGGCTATGCCTATTGGCAAAGCGATATGTAATGATAATAAAGATGAAGGAAAGGTTGTGGAGTAATTAATACTTAAGACGTTAGAAGACACTTACATACTACCTGCTTCCTACTAAAAAATTTTTACTCAATCAGGTTGTTGGTAAGGGGAGGCGAATTAAGAGCAAAATACATGCCCTCTTGCTTTCCTGGCAACAAAAAACTTTACAACATGGTAAAATAAACGTCTTGAAAAACTGGGAGCTTGGTTTAACGAGAGTTGGTATACGAAATAAAAGTTTACTTGGCCAGAAGGCAACCCCTAATAATTAATAATAATATTTATTAGACCAACTAAAGCTTAGATTATAACGTCGCCAATTAAAGGTGCTAGATGCCCTTTATATTTTAAAGACATTTTGCAGACTCATTAGAAGCCCACATCTAAGCTAAAGCCGGAGGAAGTGAACATGCCAAACGCCTAATATTCGTAACGAGTTAAGCTAGTAATCCGTGCAGGTTGAAATTATTGACCAATCTCTAACTAAAGGATACGTACACCGAGGGTATTTTTAATTTTACGCTAAAAACCTTACTTTAAAAGCTATTTTTCAACTGTCAAGGTTAATTAACCAAATGATTACCATCCACTACTTCCTAAATTGTGGATATTAGCAAAGTTTTCTTTTTTATTCTAAAAGCTAAGCCCCCTACCCGTCTTATTATGGACCATCGCTTAATAGACCTGTGGTAAAAGTCTCTATAATTCAAGCTACGAGTAAGTAGTAAAAATGTGAGTTTTGCAAAAGTTTCAATTTTATTTTTGCAATAATTACTCCACTCCATCTATGCTTAAGCATACGGAAGGGGCTACAAAAGCTTTCAATAGAAAAATTAACAAATGTATTTTTTTAGATATTGAAAAGCTTCTAATAAAATATGGAATGATGATCTAGTTTATGAAAAAGTTACAACTAAATTTCCCTCTTACTTAATTGGAGAAGCATATTCATACTTGACGGATAGAACCCTTACTTCTAGAGTAAGCTCGAGTAAGTCCATTATTAAAAATCTTAAGGGGGTGTTACCGAAGGCACTCTAATATTTCCTTAACTTTTCTATCTACATGTCTAATATGTTACAATAAATAGGAATAAGCCTAGCCCGGTATGCTGAAGAAATTCCTTTCTTTATCGGTATAAGATTCGCCTATTGGTGTTAAAAACGTATAACCTTTGAGAGTGTTCGAAGCGTAGTTTTTTCTTTTAAACAGGACGGTTAGTAATTAATGCGTCCAAAGTACGTAGGAATCTTCCTTATATTTTAAGTCTTTCACTATATCAAATTGCCGTTTAATGTAATAAAAAGGTTAATTATTTAGGATTGAGGAGTGATGACAGACTAAGCTCAATTCTAAATCTTTATTAGGTCAACACAGAAAGTAGACAGTCTAATTTTAAGGCCTATTTATGCTTTAAAACATGCAGGAAAAATATATTACATGTAAACAAGCTTCTGTCATAAAAATAGGCCATACATTCGCTGATAGTCTACGCCTCTACCGCCTGGGCCTCTTCCTTGAGCAAGCATATACAACGACTACAAGTACTACAAAATCATACCCTGAGAATGGTGGTCAACACTCCTAGGTTGTGCGCGACAATCAATTACACAATGTACCTGTAACCTAGGGAAGTATGATAAAATTGCACGAAATGCTAGGGCCAGAAGTCACCATAGCAATATAATATTACAGACTCTTAATTATGATTCGCTGGCACGCCAAATACTCGCGGTCAAAAATGTTACTAGGGCTAGTTTAAGGTAGAATTGAGCAAAGATTATAGTTCATTCTATTATTCTATTATGGTACTTAATATTATGTATGCTAAGGTTATGTCTACTATTGTTGCTCTTATTATTTTGCTTCTGCTTCTTTCTTAATATGTATCCTATTTGACTGTGAATCCGTTCTCGTTGATAGCTCAGTGACTCGTTAAGGAAGTTGTAGTGCTTCGCCGCCCCCGCTTAGTAGAGGAATATTTGATTAAGCAGCAATTGTTTGTAAATTACGCTTGTTGCAAGTCAGTGCTATAGATTAATACTTTTATTTAATAGATTATGGAAGCCTGGGAAAAATGGGCTTCGGCTGAGATTTCTCTAGTTAGAGGTAAAGAGTAGTCACTTATGCGGAAATTTAAAGCTTTTAACTTCTAAATTACAAGGGGAAAACCTATTGTTTGAAATTGAGTGTACTTCTTTCCTAGAAGGGGATCAATCAGGAGCCGAAGCTATACCTGGAGGGACTATAAAACTCACCAGCCATCGTTTATTTTTTCGGAACAGTGAGAATGTTAATTATTAGTATTTATTTTAAATATTAGTTTCTTGAAAGTTTTTTTATTTCGATATTTTATTACTGCTTATTAGAATTTTCTAGAGCTACGCCTTTCTAAAGTTCAGTCGGTTGCTCAAGTTAAGGGAAGCATGTTCCATCACGATAAAATTATTATTAATGTAGGACCTCCTTTTTGGTAATTTTTTTTACCTCTTTATCGTGAGCGTTTGTAGAGACACTCGTTACCTTCGTATACATTGACGCTTAGGATAGTTTTTATTGTTTAATTGAAAATATTAATTTTTTAAGCAAAACAACGAAACTTTTTTTTCGAAACCAACACTACCAAGAATTTTATAAAAAGTTGTTAGAGGCCCTTGAGAATAAAACGGTACTTCCTTTTTTTTTCCTTCGTTTTTATTCTTATTTTATAAATTTAGTGGGCTCTCAAGGAGGACTCTTCTCAGGATCTACTTTCCTCTGAGCAGAGTATATATTAATTTTATAAAACTACTGTTGGGACGATATTTGAAACATATATAAGCTATTTTAGTATGTAACACCCACCATTTACTAGATTACTTTAAAGTACAGTTGGTTTTTTTTTTTTTGGTAATTTTACTGTTTACTGTTGCATAATTACTTTTTTTTAGCAGTGTGGGATAAGGTTTTGTTACATTCATGCGCACTGATACGGCCGTTTTATGTTTGTAGAGTTTTTTACCGAACGGGCGGGTATTTACGGTCTTGTCAAGCAGAAACAACGAGAGAAAACGGAAGCCGCCACTACTATGACAAAAGCTTTTACTGACTTGAGCGCGCTTATTTCCAACGTCTTCCTTTTGCTACTCTCTGCTTTTACTTGATATTCTATTTTATAGTTCGTGCAGGCTCAGCAACTGGTGTCTTTCGCTGAAAAGCTGAAAAGTAAAATAAGCAGGCACGAGATGTCTGCCGACGACCAAACTAAATTTAAAGTCTAGCCTTTTAATAAGATACATAATTATATACAATTCATATGTTATTCTCAATAAGAGATATCTTTCTGAGCTTGGAGTCGTCGATCCCGTCGGTAGTCCTAATAAGCGTAGGACTTTGGTTTTTTATTTACAAAAGTAGAAGAGCTTTCAATTGCATAGTGGGGGCCAGCCAATACTATCGCCAGCTGGCAAAAGAACTTGTGACATTCGTTATCCGACCTCTCGAGGACCACGGCGGCATGCTCACGCTGACGCACATCTTTTGTCTGTATAACAAGGCCAGGGGGCACCAGGCATAATTCCTTTTCGTCTTTCCAGCAGTCCAATTGTCTACCTTATTTTTTACGCACAGCTCGTCTCCCCCGATGACCTTCTTGAGGCGTGCAAAGCGGTTAACTTGCTGAATTCGGCTGTCGTATTTAAAACTTTTGCATCTGGTCACTACTTGCTTGCTTTTTTTATTTCGATTCATAACCCCATTAACACTGTTCTTTTAGGGACTAAAGTTTTGCAACTAAAGAAACTGGACGAAGAGGAAGTGCTTCGACGTATCTCTTCTCTGTTCTGCAGCGCTGATCAAGCGGTGTTTGACAAGTGCCGCTCCTTTACCATTGCGGCCTACTCCTTGTACTCTGCTCTTCCGGTGGCTCTTGGTACAGCTCTGGTTTTTCGTTTTTCGCTATTTAAAAGTTATTTATTTGTTATGAGCCAAAGAACAGCTTCTTCTGGCCGAGCAACACGGCATTCTCTGCCGGGATGACTCTCTAGAGGGCCTCACATTTTATCCAAATCTTTTTTAAACATCTTATACTTAAAAAAAATATATATTTTTTGGACTCTCTTGAAGTTTAAATTAAGTAGTTAAAACCATTAGATATTTAGTGCCAATACCAGTTTTGTTTTATATATTTTTGTTATTTGATAAACCTAAAGATTGGCTGTTAAATTTCTGAATGTTTTGTTGGCTGGACTATGAGAGGAACTTCTTAAAAGCACGTTGTACTGCTGATGGATATAGTAGTCGGATTAGTAGTATTCTTCCTTTTGTCCTTTCTTGGTCACTAAAAACTTACTAGCTCAAACCAATAATTTAAAATCTTAAGCTAAGGCAAGCGCAGTTTTGCTAAGGTAGTAGCATACAAGTGCAAATGCTGCAGCAAGCGGCCAAGCAATCTTTTCTTTTAAGCTAAAGAATGAAATGTATTTCCTACAGTAGAATTTTTAATTCAAGGCACAAGTTCCGCAAGGCTGTGCAGTGCGTCTGGATAACGAGAGTATACACCTGCCAGAGGCAGACGGGTGCCATAGATGAAGCTAAAACAGTCGTCAACGAAAGGCACAAAGTCTTCCTGAAACGCACGCAGAAGCCCGCCTTCCTCGTGCTCCGTTCTTCCCACTGGCGCTTGGCTGCGTGTACTTGGAGGGTTTACTGTTGTTGGAGGTGGACTGTCGCTTGCTTCTTGGTGTGCTTTCAGAAGTTCTCCGTGGAGCTCCTGGAGTTTGCCCACCAGAAACTCCTCCACACTAGTAAGAGATGTATAAAGCTTGCAGACTTCAAAAGAAATAAGAGGCTGACCTCACCGATATTTCCGAAACGGGGAAGTCGGCGAGTTGGTTAAAGGACTCGATAAAGCCGTTGAGTAATAATGATAGACTAGAGAACTGTAGAAGCCGCTGGAGAGCTCCCTTGCTATTGCCACTGAATGACGCGCTGTGGGTTTTTTTTAATACCGTTTGAGGGCACTCACTTAAGTTTACTAGGAAAGAGTTTACCCCTAAAAATGGAGGCCGGTGCATATGATGAATAAATAATATATGATATGATGACCTTTAGCAATGCTGCTATGAAACAAAGTCAGAAGGGCTTCGTGTATCACCGGGACAACCAAGCAAGATAGTTCCGTTCCAACTAACCTCAACACGGCATTCACATCAAGAACTTTGCACAGCAGCATCCGAAGTGCAGAAGCTATAAAGAATCAGCAGCACTAAACCTTTACTGCTAGTGAAAATAACCTTCTTTAATACGCGAGAGCTGTTTCCTAACAAGAGAAATAATGGTGCAAACCTCTGTACTTGTCCACAAGCTTAAATACTAAGTCGGACAATCACCAATTTTTTTTCCCAATAGATAATTACATATTAACAAACATTTTTGCTCTCTAAGAAGTTGGTGGAGTATTGAGTTACGGTGTCAAAGAAAAGAGTCTTGGTAACTTCGAAAATTTCACTTATAAAAATATACGGGTCTCCTGAATCTACTTCGCCAAGAGTTTTTCTAGAAAAGCAAGCACGGAAGGTGCTAGAGTAGGAGAAATTGTGGTGATACCGAAACCAGAAGCCTCTGCACTGGAGGAACTTCACCTTGAGATCGTCCTCAGTTAGTTGATCAGTTCTGTTTATTAGTAGGCGGGCAATGAAAAAAAATCGGTTATTACTTTATGCCACAGACCTTCTTAAAAGCTGAATCACTTCTACACTTTCGTTAAGACTGAGACTTCCTCGTAAAGTCTACTGCATTTTTTTTAAAAAAAATTTAAAAGTAGAAAATATTAATACTTCGAAAAGTTGTTGAAGCATCACCATTTCTGCTTTTTTAACTTTTTGAACGACTTCTTTTATCAACTTTACGTGGCAAAATTGTTTCTCTATTGGTTCAGTTAGTGATTTAATTTCAAGCGCATCCTCATAACGGCCTTAAAAAACAAAGTTGAGTGAGTGCTCTCAAAGTTATTGATCCTTCGATCGCGTACCATTTCTAACGCACGCCTCCATGCGGTCAGGGAGTTCAAGTATTTCGTATATTTTATAACTTTTAAAAAGACAAAATAGATCGTCTTTTAAGTTATTTAAAAAGCTCATCGAGTGTTCATAAAAAGTCTTCAATTATAAAAAGGGAAAGAAATGAATAAAAATAAACTCTTTAATTAGTATAGTTCATAAAGTCTTTTATTAATAGGAAAAGGTTTATATTCCAAAATTCCCGCTTACAAGTAACCAGAGCAACCAAGTTAAGGTGTATCTACATACAAAAATTACCTCACTACGCTTAGTTAAACAAGGGAGATTCTCGATAAATGTTTGTAAATTACTGCTAACAGAAAGAAGCTTTTGAAAAAGAAATGTAATTAGTTTATGAAAAACAACAATTTTCTACTTGTTAAAAGCTGCTAAAAACATCATAGTACAAACTAGAGAATATCTATACAGTTTCTAAAAGCTCTTTTGAGAATTCTGTGGCCTCTAATAATTCTGCGTAATGGATAATTTTTACAATGGTAAGCTTTGGCTACCTAACAAAAGGTTAGTACCTTTATAATGGCGGTAAGTAAGTAATTGTTTACTTTCTAAAAGTTCTTTCAGTTCCTTAGTTAAAACCTTGGTAGCGTTAGTAAAAAAGAAAAAAAACGGAAATTGGTTAACTTAAACTTTTCTAAAGAAATTTTGTCTGAATTCTTATGCAAAAATTACGTTATGCTCCGCTTTGACTTTATTTAATTCGGTCAAGGAGGTTAAATGAGAAACATAGTCTGTATAATCCTCTCTAACGTAAGCTCAAAAGTTAATTTTACTATCGTTTTAAGAGTAGGTAAAAAATAAAGGAGGAATGAGATACCAAGCAAAGGTGATAGTATATAATAAGACATACGTTTCTGATGACAATATAACCTTCACTGGGTCATAAGCCATTCTCCCTGCCTGCGACTTTACAAAGTCACCTCTTTGTAGCTAAAAATGTTCTAAGCGAATAGCTATAGCAAATGAAGGTTTGTCTAGAAGGAAACATCGCAAGCTCGGTACAATCAAGCAATAACTGCCTGATTTGTGTAATAACATATAAACACATAACAAACTATCAAACTTTTTCTTCTTTAAATGTGGACTAAATACCTTGATGAACAAACTTTTACCCAATTTTTTTGGGGAGTAAAAATCTAACAGCGAAGCAATACTCTAGTCGGATAAGCCGAAGTGGCAACTGCCTCGTACTTGGGGCCACCTTCATCCTGAGGTGTGGCAGGCGTTTCTCAGATGGTTTTTAGTCCTTCGGGAAAATATGCTGGAGATATTCGTACACATATACCTCTTGGGGAAGGGAAACAGCTTCTTCAATACGCTGACCACCGCCTGTTAACATAAGGCAAAAGGAGTTTGTAAACCCTTGAGGCGGTGGTGACTCGATGTGGCGTATTGAACAAAAAATAAATAATAGCTGGTGTGAGATTTGGTTACATCCAATTTATATTTGAACTCTTCCAAGGAGAACCTCTTAGGACTGATTTGCATTCTTGATTATTCGCCCTGGAAAGCCGGCTTTGATTGACGGCAGTTTTTTTTTTGTTGTTGTTAAGCTCCTTAATAGAATGAGAGATAACAATAAGATCTCTAGAAAGCCAAAAAAAAAAAAAATTAAAAAGTATAGAAGGGGGGGATCGTGTAAAAGAACTTGGTTCCTCCATTAAAACCGGAAAGAAAATGAGGTGTGGGAACCCATCGAGACAGTTAGAAGAATTTAGTTTTAGTAAAGAATGCGTAGATCAAGTTGGAAAGCAAATATTATTTTACTTCAGCAATTCTAATTTAAACAAAGATAGATTTCTAAGACAGAAAATACAGCAAAGTGAAGATGGATGTAAAACTTTTTTTTATATCCTTGTTTGTAGTTTTATATTGTAGTGATAACGTAATATTACTATTATACAATTTTTTAATTTTTTTTAAAGCTCCTGTCGCACCACAGTTATACCTCTTAAGGCTATATCCGAATTTTCACGTATCGCAGCTTTTCAATTGACTCTTCCGGAACTTTCCTTCATTTGCCAGTCACTTCCAGGAATAAAAGTAACGCTATCATAGAACTTTTTACACAAAACGCTATCATCTTACCATATAAGATTTCCAGTGACCGAACACAGATCGGGAGACTAGAGCCTCTTGCTGAGATTAGAAATGTGGATGAATATACAGTTTATGTGGTTGGTTAATTTTATTTTTTTGTTACTATAAGGGCCAACACACATACCGGAATAAGTTAACTTTTCAATATCAATCGAAATGTATAGATTAAAGTTAATGTTTTGATGTTTGGTTAGGAAACTTTACCGAAAGAAACGGATCATGACCGCCTAAAAGTTCTTTTTGAGCAATTTGGAGAAGTTGTCTATGTGAGTATCCCAAAGTTCGAGGCAATAAAGTTTATACGAATCATATATATAATTTATGGGTCTTATCGAACTTTATTGAAAAGAATAAAAAGATCAAAGGTTTTGCTTTTGTCGAGTTTAGTTCAAAAGAAGCTGCTCTCAAAGCCGCTGAAGCGACTTATAAAATAGTTCTCTCTGGCCGTTTCCTTCGCGTCTTAAAAAAGTGTCTATACTTTTTTATTTTTTTCTCGTTGACTTTGGCAATCTACATTTACTACATTGAGAACTACTAAACTGACTGAAAATAGTGCGTTATACACTCTATAGTCACTAAGAAATCGTTGCTAACTTATTGTTGTTTTTTATTTTTGGTTAGAACCGAGTGGCTGCGCCTTCGAAGGATTTACATCAAACTGCTTAATTCCCGCTCTGAAAAGAAAAAAAAAACGGGTGATGCCGTGGACGCTAAAGTCGGGGTTGTAGAGAGCAACACTCTGACGATGATTCCAAACGTCTTAGTTGTTTTAAATAATTTACACGAAGATTCTAAAAAGCTTCTTTTAGGAGTAAAATTTCTTTTAGCACAACTAAAGTTTTATCACAAGAACTTTTTTGTAGAGCAGGATAGAGAAGCTCGTACCATTTCAATTTCTAGACTTTCCGCGATGCAGCACGAAGGTTGTTGACTTCTAGCGCAACCTTCTCCTTCTCGCTCTTCCCATTATAAAAGGCAGTTGTGCGTTTCTCTTCTCAAGAAGATGCACAAAAGTTCTGTGACAACTTTGATCCGAAGGGTCACTCTTTTATAACCACCTTGTAGTGTTTACTTACTTTACTATTAGAAGACTGCTCGGGAGCTGCGGGAGGTGAAACCATCAAAGTCAGCTTATTGACAGGTAGCGCATAAGTTTGTGTTATGGTTCATGCATGTTCCTTCTCTTGTGCAAGCAGGTGATGCTGAGGTGGAGTACTGGAATAAACTTTTGGCAAAGTTGGGCCAGAGACCCACCCTCGACGAGACGCCTCCTGACGAGAGTAGTACAGGACTCAAGAGTAAGAAAAAAAGAAAAAAGCGAAATAAAAGCGAAGCCATACACATTTTGTTTGATGATGTTGAGGAACGTTGTGAGGCTAGCTCCCTCGCCTCCGTTAAACGAATAAAGCCAGATTAATTTTGCTTTTCTTGACTACCAATTTATTTAATAAAAAAAACGGTAAACTGCTTCTGACCCGTTTGTGAATTAATATAAGAAATTGCTATTCGGGGTACCGCATAACTTTTTATTAAAAATTTTTATTTATAAAGCAAAGTTAGTTATCAACAGTTCTAAAAAGTTCAAAAGCAGAAAAAACTAATTATTGCTATTCTATGACTAGCATCCTCGTTTAATTATAAAAACCAGCAGTAGTAAATTACAGAAAGTGAGGGGATAAGCTCAAGAAAGTATACATTGATATACACAGGAATTTCTCTGGGCCCCCTTGTCAGCATTCATCTCTCCCAACGCACCCGGAAAGAGACATTCGACGGTGGGTCGGGCCTACTGGCTTTCTACCGTATTGTGTAGTTTGATTCTCAGTAATTAGATATTTATTATGCATCTACTTGCGAACTTAAACGCTCATATGGTCTACTTGCTATAACATGCGTGATGACCCTTTCAAAAGCTATACTTTCGTTACTACAAATTACAAAACTAAAGATTCTTGGCTAAATAATCCAGCTTTACTTACGATTGATATATAAAAGAAGAATGTACTTCAGCCAAACAGTTTCGGCTTCGTCAAAAATTTTTAATGGTTTAAGGAATAAACAATATTTGATACAGGCAAACTACTAATGATGAAGCAGACAACTTCCTACACAGCCACTATAAAAAAGTCTCCGAGTTTGTCTATCGCGAACCTTTCAATATATTCAATGCTCTACAATGACTTTTCAAGTTTATTACTAACAACACCGCTTACGTTGTGATGCCTTTCTGCAATCAATGCATTTTCCTTTCCACGTATTCTCGAGCTTTTTGTTTCACATATTCCATAGAAGAGGAATCTCCATGGAGTCTTTCGAACTCAAGATACCTCTTGAAAAAATATTTCATCTTTTTCGAGGACAAGTTGAGCGAGATGATTCGATCGAACAAGTGTCTTATTAGAGTAAAGTTTCCGGCATTGAGCTCATGATCCAAATAAACGGACCAAATGTCCACCCGCTTCGGATAACTGCTTAGAATTTCCTGCAATAGTTAAAAAAGTTGTATAAAAGATAGCTTTCGGCTCACAGCACTCCATGGTTACCTCAAATATAGTCCTACCCCTCTCAGGATCGCCCACCTTGAACTCCAACTGAGCAAACTTGCTTATGGCGGCCACGTGCTTCCTCTTCGGCAGTCTGAAAGGAGCACTGTTAGAAACCGCTACAAATAACACCTCGAAAGTAAAGTAGAACCTCGTCAAAGCGCGTTTGAGAAGCTCTTTGGCTTCGTTTACTTTACTGCGAGACAACAGAGCTGACCCGTAGCGAATCCACACCTTTTTGCTGCTTCCAAATTTTTTACACAAAAGTTCGAAAACCTCAAACATTTTCTATAAATCGAAAAAACTTTAAGTTTTTAAACATAAAAGAAATTCAGTAACACTTCACCTCGTCGCTTTTAGAAGCATCGAACACTTCCACAAGATGGAGATATATAACTTTCGGGTCGTTGTACTGGCAGGCATGCAGAAGAGTCTTTTCTAAAGAGGCAGACGTGCCAAAGCGAGCCTCCAAGTTCTGCAGATCGAGCATCCAATGAACACCTGCCCTTTCCTACTGGGTACGGAAAACTACCAATAGCGCCTTCCAGATATTGAGCCGTTCCTCCAATTCGCTGTCAATAATGGTCTTTAAGGCTTTCTCAGCAACACTTCGCGCTTTTTCTATCTCTGCCAGTTGTATATGGAAGGACATAAACTGCACCCATAGAAGGGAACTGTAGTGATAAGGATGCTGATAATAATAATTAAAATGATAATAATTATAATAGTACTTATTTGGAGCGCCAACTAAAGCGCGGTTATAATCAGCAGCTGACTGTAGATCCTTAGAATTTAAAAGTTCGTTTTCTCTTTTTTCGAGCTCCTCTTCTTGCTTTCTTTGCAGCCGTTTCTTTTGGTTCTTAGTGAGTCTTTGACTGGCCGGCTCCTCATCTTCATCCTCATCCGAGCTCGTCACCTCTAAGAAAACAACAGACATTCAGTGAATGCAGTGTCTCCCAGGGTTAACCTAGCGCACGCCACCGTCGCTGCTTGCCCTCGATCCTGCGTGACTGCAGCTGGTGTCCAACCCCCCTTCAAGTGTCCAGCTAAGCTCTTCTTCCACGGGGACTCCCTCTGCTCCCAGCGCCCCCGTTATTGCAGCTGGGGGGGGGGAGACAATATAACAGGCGCTTTATAAAAAGTATCCGACTATTAACTTTTGTTTACTGGCACACGCAGACAAGTGCTGAGGGGCGCCATCTCCACGGGGTCGTCCGCTGGAGAGTCGCTATCGCTCTTCTCGGACGGAGGGGCGGCATCTTGGCCATCGTCAACATTGTCGCTTTCTGTCTCTGCCTCACTCGACTGGAGCTGTTCAGCTTCAAAATAAGACGGTTTCAGCCCCAGCGAAATTTTTCTAGAAAGCTCGTCAAGCTAACCAACAAACAGCAATCAGAATAAGGTAAAACATAGAATGAAAAAAAGAACATACTTTGAGGACGATGCACTTTACGGGATCGCCCACAGAAAAAACTTGACTCAACTTTTGGTGGTTCCCATCATCAAAGATCTCAGAAATATGCGCAAGCCCAGAGAGGGCGCCAGAAGTGTTATCGAGTGTAATAAAAACGCCTTCAAGGTATTTATAAAGTTACCAAAATGAGACCTGCAACTTCAAGTAATATTAAGTTAAACCGTAAGGTTCAATGCTACGAACAGCGCCGCTGAGAATGGAGCCGATGCGGAGATCCTCAAAGGTGATGATGCCTTCCCTCTTGCAAATGGCGCTCCGTTTCAAGGACAAGTCCACGAACTCACCGCGAACACTACAGGAAGGCTCCCACTCAGAAGAGCTTATAGCAAGCAAAGAGGGGCCTACTTTAGAACTTTAGCCTTTACGAGCTTGCCTGGTGGAAAAGCGGCCTTCCAGTCCTCGATGAACGAATCGCTGAGGTCCTTGATAAGGACGCGCCCCACCACCTTCAAGAGCGTAAGAGAGTAGGGCAGCACCCACAAGCGAAAAATACCTTTTGGCCGAGATAAACAAAGCATCCAGAGGGCTCCATGGCCTTGACAAACCCCCTGACCACGTCAGCGGGCGACAGATCCATCACTGTCCTGATCTCTCTATCCCTCACGTCGCACTGCATATAAAGTAGTGACAGAGGCCACAAATTATAAGGAATAGCATACGCACTAGACCTCTGTCTTATGGAGCCTGGAAGGCCGCAACGACAAATCACAATTAGTCCCATCGTCGTTAAGGACACATGCCTTCACAGTCTGACCAATTTTAAAGGCACTAAAAGGCTTTCCGGAATAAGCATCGCTCATGTGAGTGATATGGATGCGACCGAGTCTTCCGTAAGGCAGCTTCAATGATGAAGTTGAGCCGATGGGTAAAAAGCACACAAAGCGCATACCTTAACACACATGTGCGACGCCGGGAACTTTTTGAAAAGCACTGCGGGAACACAGCTGTCCGGAGGCAAAGGCTCGAGAGGAGATCTAAAGGAAAGATCGATGCGCTCTTTCAAATCAAGTATTACTTATAGAAAGACGAGAGGGTGAGAGTCAAGACCTTCAATAACCGAGCAGATGTACACGACAACACTCTGCTTTGCTGCATAGTTACCGGCGAGTGTCAAAGTATTGCCTTCAAAGTAGGCAGCATTCATAAGAGGGACTCTTCCTCGTAGAGCGGGAGTGAGGCAGACCCAGAGGCCGTCTTTGTCAACCTGCAGATGCCCAACCCGAATGAGGAGCCGGCATGTAGCCAATGAAGATAAACTACGCTCTGGATGATCCCGCTCATCCGATCGCCCCGCGCGAGGGTAGCCAAAGTAGGGCGGTGGAGTACTTCCACGGCGTCGCTCTGGATGTCGCTGATAAAGAGAACCGATGAGCAATACGCCACCGCCCAAGCTGGCTGTGGCCGACCTTTCTCGGCAGGTGAGCTCCACGATAGCCTTCCCTTGCGTATGCGAAACAGGAAGGAAAGAGTGGGTCTTTGTGCACCGCAGACCCAGCACACGCGCCCGAAGGTACTGCCCTCGGTGGTAGACGGAAAGTGGGTTGTCCATATCTTATGATAGGATGAGAAGGCCGTTTATATAAGTGCGGTCACATCGAGCCCACCAATCCTAGAGCATTCTGTTATGTGAACGCGGCCTTTCACACGTGGGCTGAGATCAATGTTCAGTTGAAAGTCTTCGATCTATTATGTGACTGGCATGATAGACCGAGAAGCAATGAACTACAAACAGTGTACCTTATTAACCCTACATTTCACTATTTGGCCCTGCTTTACATCCCCAATATACTCGACTGGCGGGATGCCAGCCAATGAACGACTTATCTTTTTTTTCAAGGGGCAGTGAAGTGTAGACGACTGCTCGATGGTAGCACAGAGAAGACGGCCTGAAAAAAAAGTAAGTAAGGGAGCCAAATAAACTAAAATGAACTCGACTTAAAAAAGAATGGGCGAGCGGAGTTGCAACCACTTGGCCAATTACGCGGCCGGAAAAGGTTTGACCTACCGAATATTTGGTAAATGCCTATATAAAAGTTTCAATCAAAGTTATCTATGACGACACGAAGCGGATACTTTCCTTCTCGCTAACGGTGTTGAAGGAGGCCACGGGGACCACTAGAAGGTTGTCTCGGGCTAGGCAAAGCAGATAGAAACTCTTGACAAGGAGAACCGAGAAAGAGAGGTGTTCCTGACCTAATGAAACATGCCCGCGAAGTTCTTCAGAGCCACGGCAGAGCAGATACCAATAGATTCGGTGGGCGGGGAGCAAAGGGGCCCCACTACATCGGCCCTCAGACTCACGTCGATAACCAAAGTGGCCATATCCACGTCGAGGGGGGCGCCTGGCAAAGATTAACAGTCAATCCCCATTGGTGGGAAGGCAGAATGAACAGACCTTGCACTCTAGAGCCCACAGTGAGACCGGACGGGCAATGCTCCGGCGTGGCAAAACTACGGCAGTGTAAGACACACTAAGCGGTAATAAGCCAACAACGCACCCAGTAATATCGTCGGAAAACTTCACAGTCACGCCGTAGCTCTCAACCGCCTTAACAACTCCATCGAGTGGCTTGCGGGCCAACGCCTGCACGAGGGAAGAAGGTCAATAAGAATAGTTTAACCGCTCCATATACCTTTTCGACGATAAGTAGTGAAGAGATCGGGAGCAGGGCACACACGCGACTTTCCAAAACGGCTTTGTCCTCGATGTACGTGGCCATGAAGAAGCCCCTCACCCTGTCGTCTTCCACCGGTTTGCTTTTGAGAGTGAGGTGGAGTTTCCCGCCGTTATTCGAGAGGACCGTCGCTGGAAGGAAGGCGTACGCACAAGCAAGCGTAACTGAAGCGAAAGTATAACAAACCCAAAACGGTTTGGCCAAGTTTGAAGATCTCCTCAGTCTTGCTTATGTACCTTTCCGCCATGTTGGTCAGCGTGACAAAACCGCAAGATTGTGCGCAACAAAGGCGCACATAGCAGCCATACTCTACTATCTACGCGAATAATCAACGCATGCTCAGGATACACAACCAATAATAGAACCTTCTGAATGAAACCGTAATAACATTGGCCAGGATGAAGTTCTTTTTCATCCAACGAAAAGTTAGCTTTGAAACTTTTTTTCAATGACAGTAATGCCTTCCTTTTACTAACCGAAAGCACCAACACATTCTCAAGTATCTTAATAATATACATAATAAATAGAGCAACAAACGGGGAGTGTTCAGCAGACCGTTCCGTGGCGCGAATAAGCTTCCAAAAGCGGCTCACAAATCGAGTAATGGTCGGACAGGTGAGCAGTTTCAATAACCTGAAGGACGTTCGACGGCTCCATGCGCACACGCAAACCTCTTTTTGAACGCGAGTGCACAACGCAGGTGACCAAGTCTCCCGGTTTGATACTGGCAAAGGCGACAAAGTCGGGCGGATGCCTTTCTTGAGACGTGTTTAAGGAAAGTGAGATACTATAAAAAACGGTAAATTTTTGCAGCCACTGAAGATAAAAGAAACTATAGCACCGCCCGCTGGTCATATTACAGTGAACGACCGTGCAGCACACTACTCTCCCGACGGACAGCTCAGACGGGTCGACGTCACTGGAGCGGATATCTTCCAGGCTCAGATACCCTTTGACGTTGTTATAGAAGGACACCATTCTTCCGGTAGCGAGGACTTTGCTTACGACGCCGTGACTGATCAATCCTCTGAAAACAAAGCACAACGCCAGTGAGGAAAAATGAGCAGAAAGCCGCGCATATTGATAACACCTCTTTGCTCCTGTCAGGCTGCTAATAAGCGGATACTTGGAGGTCAGAAGAGTCCTTTTGGCAGTCAATAAAAGCTTCTGTTTTGATACATCAAGGCTTAAAACTACCCGTTAGAAATAAAATGAGCCCTGTACGATCTCACACGCAGTGACCGACTAGATACCTCTGCACTTCACTTTACTGCATTTCGGAAATCTTCTTGCGGGATCGGTCAACGAGGTGTCGGAAAGATGGTCGTTGGGGATTATCCCTCTTATTTTATTAGTGACCCACACAACCACGCCTTTCTCTTTAAATCCTTCCACAGTCCCCTTCAGAATTAAGTCAATGTGTTTACCCGTAACTCATCTGCAAAATATAAACATTACAGTTAGATAAGAGCCAATCTCGACGCTCTGCAGATGCAGAAAGGGAGCAGACATCACTGAAGGCTGCATGGAGAGACAGACGTAGCCTAACAGAAAAAATAAGATGCCGACCAAAAAAAAGCGCAAGAAGCGACCTTCCAGGTAGTTAAGGGCAACCACTCTTGCATCCACTTTAGTATTTACTTGATATTGTTTTTTGGTTAGAGAAGTCAATTTTTCATCAGAAATTCTGTAGAGCTAAAAAGGAAGTCAGTTTGATTGGCGCCGCACTTTTAGTGAGCACTCCCGCACATGGACATAGCCGGAGAGACGGTCCGACAGTTTCACCAGAAGCCCCATTTCCCTATCAACACGGTGAACGGATACACTGCGCTGGAAATCCCCTACGCAAATCCCGTCTACCGTAAAATAAAAGGATTGAGCTCCATCTTACCAACAAGTTTTTTTTTACATAAACAAGATACCAAAGTTCGGCATCCGCAGTTCTAGGACGTGAGAGAGGCCGCTAAGATAGACTTTTTTGGCTCGCTTATCACAGTGAAGTATCCTTAGCTTTAGTAAAGCACGGCTCATAAGCACAGTAACGTATAGCTCTTAAGAAAGGCACCTTGAGGGTACTGTTGAGAGGGTACAAGTCACACATTTCCTTATGGTGCGAAACCACGGAAGGCAGGTGGAACCAATCAACAACTCCTTCAAGGCCGTTAAGAAAATTTACGGCAAAACCGTTCTTCAGGTGGCGTTTGACTATGCAACTCACTAGTAACCCTGGAAATATATAGGAAGAGCTCTAAGACCGCACACGTCACTAAACAAAGAGAAGAGCAGGCCTGGCATGACCGAGTCAATTTTAACAATGTCCCTTTTGCTGGGAGAACACAAGGAAGAAGTCGCGTTTTCAAAAGGAGTCAAATGCACAACATTAGAAGAGTAGTCTTTGATAACAGCAATAATAACTTCGCCTGGCCGAAAATTTCTATAAAAATTATATGTTTCAAGTTTATATGAGTTGATTCTTTAAGTAATTATACTTTCCCAAAGGCAGCAATTCATTTCGGTGCAAGAAGGCCTTAACTTCGCCGATACCAATATTAACAAGATAACCGTGATCTTCAACACTGCAGATACAACCAGCGACTATCTGATGCAATAATGTATAATATTGACACATAAAAGAAAGCTTTAATAATAAAAATAACAAGATTAGGTAGAAGAGTATTTGCAAAAAAGCCCGCATTGACCAAAGCGGGGTCCAAAGTTAAAGAGATTTTAGTTCTTGAGTTTGCGCCAGAGTCAATCTTCAAATTTAAAAAGAATTGGATATATCACTTACTAATGTAAAAAACAAGTTTACGCTTAACACACTACACAAAATGTATTGTCCAATCTTAAAATAATCCCCCATTACTGGCAAACTTTCTTCCGCTGATTTGTAAACTCGATCTAAAAATTATGAAAAAACAGATGAACAAAAATCTTTTATTAAGTAAAAAACCTCTTTCTAATGGCTTTAAATCAGGATTTAAAATATGGGCATTCACTTTAGAAAGAAGTTGAGTAGTAAAAGTTTTTGATATGTTGTTTATTGATAAATAAGCTTTGCAATTGTTTGGAAGAGCAACTATGACTGAAAGAGGCCTAACTTTCGTAATTAATCCCAAAAAAACTTGACCTTCATGGCATCTCTAATAAATATTACAAAAGGAAATTAAATTATTAAAATATTTTCTTTTAGAGACCTTGTACGAAAAAAATTTAACGGTTTCAAGTTTGCTATTAGACTTTTTCTTAGTAACTTTGAAACCAGGAGAAGAAGAGTTTTTTTTCCTTTTATTACCCAATTTCGGCTTCACATTTTCCTTGTGCTAGCATAAATTACAAAAAATAATCGGTAAATTTAAGTATTCTTACACCAAAGAGAGATCCAGGAATCGAAGTAAATAACTTAGAAGCTTTACGTTTAGTAGGCTTCTTATTAAATGTAATATCAGTTTTTCCAGACCCTCGAGGAAATAGATCACTTTCTACTTCAAGCATTGTGCTTTAGTTAAAAACAAAAAATCAATTTAGTACTCATACAATTCATTCAGCACGTAAGAATTTCTGTGTACTAAAACGCCATGTGCTAAAATTTAAAAAGTGATTGGTCAGGACAATTTGTAAGTATTATTGAGGTTTATTACTGTTAGCTGCACTTTGGTTCACATTTTTAGTTTTTATAAAGTTTTTAATTATTTCAGGATCAAGAATTCAACCATTATCAGAATAAATATTTATAATTGTTTATTTTTTTTATTTGTGGTATAAGTTGTGTGTTGTATGTAGTTTGTTAGACTTAAAGTGAGCAACTATTTTAGTAATTCTCAGACACTAATCAATTTTTGTTCGTTACTAGCTATGTTCTAATTTATTTTTTTATTTTTTATCAGAAAAAAGATTATAACCACTAACATGATTAAGACCTTTTGGTGCTAGAAAAAAATTTTAATGCATATTTTTCAGTTATCGAATTTGAACTAACGAAGTAATCCATAAAAAAATAGGGTAAGGTTTATAAAACTGTTTATTTTTTTGTAAAAATTTAAATAAAATAAATTATTTGGTAGTTTGAAGAAAAAATTTATAATTTGTTATTATTGACGAATTAATATCAATTATTAACTTTTAAAAGTTTAGTACACAACTGTCAAACAAAAGATATTAAACTTTGTTGGCCAAATATATTTATAAGAAACTTTAAAAACCATGGTTTTAAACAAAATCACATTGTTTTTATGTATTAAAATTATTTTTGGGTATGACCGACTTTTAGTGTTGCTTCATGATAGCTGTTTGTAAATGCATTGACATTGTAGGTAAGGAAACTAAGAAAAGTTAGGCATTTTTTACAGCTGTTTTAAAGGGCTATTAAAAAAAATATAAGCAAAGCTATTACTGAAACAAATGTTATACGGTATGAAAATCTGCTATGTTCTTGAAAATGAACATAGCACATTCTACACAAATTTAGCTTTGCATTTCCCTTCAGTGCGAAGGTTTCTTTTTTGTTTCCTATATTATATGTATCCGCCAATACGAATTCTATCATAGTAATGGTTATAGATTGTTCATTTTCGCTCAGAGTTTTTGTCGTTAATGATTAAGTCTTTCAGGATAGCTATAGCTAAAATTATGTTAACTGTAAAGTTATTCCCTTCGCTATACAATAATATTTGTTTAATATTTGACAATTCTCCGTGTATGAAATTGACAAAGCAGAGTCACCACCTCTTATTACATCGAATTATATTAATTGGCAATACCATTAAATTATTGTTTAGATTGAATTATTCATGTACTTGTTAAAAAAATTCGTCTTCTTGCTTTTCAGTAGCGTTTTACAATTACCGTAAGTTTTAAAATACAACAGTTTGTCTTACTGTTACCACGTAATTATTATTCCACCGAACTACATACTTTAAATGCCGCGTGAAGTATAAAATAATACATACACCAGCTCTTTTTTTTTAGGTTTTTAAAATTTTGATGTCACTCTTTTCGCTTTTTTTAAATGCTAGTTCTCTTAGTTGTATAAGAAATAATACGCTTAAAAAAAATAGTCCGAAAGTGAAGATCTTATTTTTCTAGTTTCCATTTCGTAATATTTTAGCGCCATTGTAAGGTATAGACTGAAGCAATCGTAAGAGCTTCAAATTAAAATTTCTTTCTGCGGTTCATAAATTGCAGATCTATATTTCTGTACGTTTAAAGAATAAAAAATAGCTTCTGGAATTAATGAATCATATATAGGCGCAATATATACTTGGACCGCCATCCTAACTACAGCCCTCCATTAACCCTGTTTATTTCTATGCGTTACTTTAGCAGTAGCAAAATGGAGTAAATTTTATAGGGTAATAATATGTGTTTGTCTATCTGTTGAGTTGAGAAGTATATCCAAGAGCAATCTTAGCGGGAATATAAGTAAAGGTACGTTAGATAGAATTTTGAACGTGTTAAATGTAAATAAAGTATATACTGCTCATGACTTATCCGGACAAAGAAATTTCGAGAACTCATTTAAACTTTGAACTTATATATTTAGCAGTTTGCCTTCTAAACCACCACTTTATATAACTTGTACGGCTAATAAATGATAAAGGATTTTATTTATTCTTGTTTAGACATGTGTCTCATAAGGTCAACCACTCTCTTAGAGTAACCCCACTCGTTGTCGTACCAAGAGATTAACTTAACGAAGTTTTGTGTCAAAGCTATAGAGGCACCAGCGTCAAAAACAGAGGAGAAATCGCAGGTAACAAAATCTTGAGAAACGACCGCGTCTTCTGTGTAGCCCAAAATCCCTTTGAGAGGGCCTTCTGCGGCCTTTTTCAACACCGACTTGATTTCGTCAAGAGTAGTGGACTTACTTAAGTTGCAAGTCAAGTCAACGACGGAAACATCTGGTGTTGGAACACGGAAGGCCATACCTTAAGAAAAAAAATTTAATAACAAAAGTCCATAAAAGGCTTTGGATTAGAAAAAACCAAAAAGCTCACCAGTTAATTTCCCGTTCAACTCAGGGAGAACTTTTCCTACAGCTTTTGCGGCGCCCGTTGAAGCAGGAATAATGTTTTGAGCCGCGCCTCTTCCGTCTCTCCAAGCTTTACTCGAGGGGCCATCCACCGTCTTTTGGGTTGCCGTGTAGGAGTGTATGGTCGTCATCAACCCGGAAGTTATCCCAAAATTCTCATGTATGACTTTAGCTAAAGGAGCTAAACAATTGGTTGTACAAGAGGCATTAGAAACAATCTTCATTGAATTTTTATAGCTTTTTTCGTTAACGCCAACAACAAAAGTGGGAGCATCGGCCGAAGGTGCGGAGATAATAACTCTTTTGGCACCTCCCTTTAAGTGTGCACTTGCTTTATCAACAGTAGTAAATACACCAGTCGACTCGACAATATACTCCGCTCCCACGAAACTCCTATATTAAAGTATCCTTCCATAGCGCTCAGAACTCTAGCAGAGAGAAAAGAGTATATACCATTTAATGTTAGCAGGGTCTTTTTCGTTAAAAACACAAATGTTTTTTCCGTTAACGCACAACTTATCATCTTTAATTTCAATACAGCCTATTATGTATAAGGTATAATTTAAGATAAAACTAAGAGAATGGTAGTTGGTATTACTAAAGATGTAAAAACTATTTACCTTTAAATCTGCCATGTGTAGAGTCGTAAGTTAGCATATACTTCATGTAGTCAAGAGGAATGAAAGGATCGTTAATGGCCACAACTTCTACGTCCTCACTCTGCAAGGCCGCTCGTAGGACTAAACGACCAATTCTTCCAAAGCCGTTAATACCAACCTTCACCATTTTCAACTAAAGTTAAAAATCCTGTTACGCTTAAGAGGCGAGCTTTTAAAGCGTTTAAGCTAAGGTAGAGCATAAACCCCCTTCATAAAAAATAAATCAATAAAAAACCTTATTTAGGCATCCTAAAAGTTTCTTATATATATTTGGTAACCACCATAAAATAAGCTCCGAAACTGTTAAACAGCTTTTGGCCCACAAAGTAATATCTCAAAAGGAAAGCTGTACATTTTTATAATAAATTTTTGTACCCATAACCTATATTAAACACTTATTTCCTTCTTCTACGGTAAATATATCTGCTAAAAAGAAATTACAGTGGTTTTACAATTGTGCAATTGGGCCTTGAGTTACCACAAATTTATTTACACAAGAACTCGTTAGCGAACCATTAAGCTTTCTAGCAACAGGCCTATCGTAACAGAATAATTTGGAGCTTATATCGAGAGGAATCATAATTTTTAGGGGAAGCTCTACATTTCGTCACGATTAATTAGCTATAAGGGTACACGGGCGCCGTAGTGTCTCGCCCTACCACGTATATGACGGAAAGAGCGCGGAGACTATAGGACGGGCCCACCTTCAGTTTACTTGTCTATTTAGTTTTTCAAATCTTTGTAGAATTTTAATCTTTAATCTGGGTTGAAATTACCACAACGCAGAGAAGGAAAATTTCAAAATACTTTGGTACTAAATAACATGAGTTGCAACCGCGGAACTAATATTACCTTTACTAGCACCCTAGTGTTAAAGTTTTTAAAATAAATATTTAAAAGTTTATTAAAATTTTATCTTAAAAGACTAACCTTAATAATTGAAAATAATGAAATGTATACTAAATAGAAATTTAAAGATTAGCGCTATCAATAACAAACACTTATAACCCCAGGGTAAGATCTTCAAATACATATAAGAAAAGGGACTTACCCAGGTTTCGTGGACCAAAATACGCCCTTGCGTTATTAGCTAATGCTATAGAATAAATAGTAGTTAAGAAACCAATTTGAACGGATAACTAGAGATGAAGCAGCAAAAACAATTTATATGTCGACTGCGTATTGGTAAGAAGGTATTTTTAATAATAAACACGTAGGCTGCCTGTGCACCTCTCGTTATAAACTTTACCATGAATTTTTAGTTTCTGCTTGATACATCAAACTTCTTATGTATATTCTTCATTTTATATATTTATTTTTCTGTTTTTAACAATTATTTTTTAAAATTTAATTTGTATTTCAATTTTTTTTTCATTTTTTTTCTTTTTGTTTCTCACTTCTACTATCAGCGGTCCTCAAAAGTTATCACCACTTTATTGACCACGAATACATAACTTAATAAGAGTTAGAAGGTTTAAATAAGAGAGTTCGGCAAATATAAAAAAGAAAAAGGAAGTTATGACGAGAAGAACCTATCGAGTTATATATTGACATAGTAAATACTAGTTTTACCGATTTTAACCAGATAATGCTTTCCAAATTTTGGGAAGACCTAAGTGTAAAAATTAGGCTTACCAAAGAATAGCAAAATGTTGTATGTTTTCGCAGACAATACTTATAATAATGTTAATTGAATAAGAAAGATAACCATAATCATAGTTATCGTATTTGTACAGATAGTGGTGTTCATATCGTAGTTAAGCTTAACTTCTGCCAGCTGGTGAAATTTTAAGAAGAGCAATAGTAGTGATAATAGCGGATAGTACTTTTAATAAAGATAATATTATAAACAGTAATAGCTGTTGGAAAAAAAACCATTGAGCGTAGGTTTTTCAGATTATTGCTATGCCTAGTGAGCTAAGAGATCTAAACCATTCCGTGGTCGTTACTAAGTGATAATCTAATCTAGTTTCCTTTGTGTGTACATAAAGCTTATTTATTTTAACAAACATCAACTCTATTACCAATTTCTGGTCGCGCTCGCTTAATTTGCCTAATGAACCAAATTAAAAAGATTAAGAGACCCTAGCTGCACTGCTCAAAGCAGTAGTGCAATTTGAAATGTTACTAAGGTCCAGTGTCACAAAAAATTTGTGATTAGGAGACGATGACTAATTCGACAATAATTATTAACCAAATATAAGAAGCAGGGGAGAGTATCCACAGTCTGCTCCAAATTTAGACATATTTGGAGTTGTTCGGAATTATATAAAGCCAAAAGTGGTAAGTTAAAAAGTAGGTGGAATGAGGGAAATTTCCTTCAGACCAGCGGAAACGCGAAACCGCTCTAGAAAATACTTCTTAACTAAAAAATTGATTGTATGCATTAAGTTCTTTTTGGGGGAGGAAACGGACACGATATAAATGGGGTGTGTACATCATACACATAGAAACGGTGCCTATATTAACGAAAATAACACGAAAAGTAAGAACAGCACTTGTGAGCTTATTGACGACGATGAACTCGCCGAGGGACAAGACACCAAAGAGAAAGCATGGGGTTGTCCCTCTAATCCACGCCAACCAAACAAATGCAAAAAGACCAAAGGCTTCAAGTTGAATTTCTCTCGAAGTGGAAAACAAAAGTGGTACGGAAAACGAATTTTGAGGTTAAATGAGGACGCTACAAAAATAACTTCAATGATGGGAAACCTGCATTGACGTTAAAGATATTAAAATGCATTCAATTGTCAAAAATATAGGTACCCACAGAGTCCTTCCACCTGACAGCTAAAAACCCCATCTAACCCTTATGTGAGTTGAACAATAAAAACTGGGGCAATGCAATAAAAAGCAAATTGCAAGCGCTTAAAGAAAAAATGCATGAACGGCGGTCGCTTAGTGAGACAATAAAAATTTTATGAAACCGTATAGGCTTTAAAAAAAAGGACGACGGATCCTTAAAAGCAAAAATTTGCTTCAAAAGGTTTTTGCCAACTCATGGTCGTAATCTCAAAAAAAAACTGCCAGACCACATGTGTGGTGGCTCTTAGCTTAAAGTTACACAGTTGCAGTTCGACTTTAAAACGTATATATTAATGCAAGCATGAGTGGCATTCCATAAACAATAAAAATTTGCTAACAAGTTCTTAGGGCTCAACAAGGTTCTGTACGGGGCAAAAACAAGGCAGCAGACTATAATTTGATTTAACTAAGTGCAAAATTACAAACCTTGAACTCAAACAGTCAAAACTTGTTCCAAGCATATTCTACAACCCCGAGAAATATTTTACCTGCATAATAATCCTCTATGTGGATGATACACGACTGTTTACAAACGAGGCAGAGGAGTCAAGGAGACTGATTAAGCCCTTGAAGGATAGAGAGGTAACAGCAAGTAAATTCATTGATTAACGAAGAACCTGAGCATACGATCTCTTTTCAACAAATGATCAGCAAAGCCTCATAAGAGTTTAGTCTACGAGAAGAAAAATCTATTCCAAACCTATGAAAAAAACAAAATTTGAATTAGATCTTCTAAGCT